CAGGCATGAGCCACCATGCCCGGCCTTTTAATTTCTTTTTTTTTTGTTTTTTTTGTTTTTTTTGTAGAGATGGGCGTCATTATGTTGCCCAGGTTGATCTTGAACTCCTGGGCTCAAGCAATCTTCCTATCTCACCCTCCCAAGTAGCTGAGACTATAGGCATTTGCACCACCACACCCAGCTGATGCATATTTATATATATATTATCTCTCTTAGATTAAGAAAAAAACCCCATGAAGTAGGCACTTACCCTTATTTCTTAGATGAAAACAACATAGTTCTAATTACAATGCCTGCACACCCAGCCACTACATTAAACTCCTCAACCACTTCCTACCCGCTTAGCCTTTATCGTTTCTGTTGTGGTCTCCAGACCATCAGCATCAATGTCAGCTGGAGATTTATTACGAAGACAAATTCTGGGGCCTCATCCCAGACCTGCTAGATCTGAAACCGTGCGGTGGGGCCCTGCAATTTGCAACAAACCCTTCAGGTGATTCTGACACATGCCAGTTTGAAAACCATTGATCTAGATGTTGTGGGACATCTATACCTTACACCTTTCCTTACCTCTCTGAAGGGTCATGGCCAACACTCCTATAACAAAAGATGGGTTAAGACCAGGTATGGTGGCTCACGCCTGTAATCCCAGCACTTTGGGAGGATTGCTTGAGCCCAGGAGTTGAGACCAGCCTGGGCAATATGGTGAGACCTTATCTCTACAAAACTAAATAAATTAGCTGGGAGTGGTGGCATGTGTGCCTGTCGTCCCAGCTACTCTCTGAGGACTGAGGTTGGGAAGATCATTTGAGCCTGGGAGGTCGAGGCTGCAGTGAGCTCTGGTGGTGCCACGGAACTCCGGCCTGGTTGACAGCAAGACCCTGTCTCAAAAAAAAAAAGGGCTAACAAGAGAAAAGCATAACAGATTTATTTAATTAAAGTTTTACAGGCCGGGCACAGTGGCTTTACACCTGTAATCTCAGTATTTTGGAAGGCTGAGGTGGGCAGACCATTTGAGGTCAGGAGTTCAAGACCAGCCTGGCCAACATGGTGAAATCCCATGTCTACAAAAAAATTACAAAATTAGCCAGGCATGGTGGCAGTTGCCTGTAATCCCAGCTACTAGGGAGACTGAGGCAGGAGAATCAATTGAATCTGGGAGGCAAAGGTTACAGTGAGCCAAGATCAAGCCACTAGCACTCCAGCCTGGGTGACAGAGTAAGACTTCGTCAAAAAAAAAAAAAAAAAAAGTTTTCTGTTGACATGGGAGCTTTCAGAAATAAAGACTGAGGGAAGGCTGTCTACTTTTATGCTTAGGTTTGATGACCAACAGCCAGGTAGACACAGGATTGAACAAAAGGGTATGATTGATCTATTGGTAATAGACTTTGGTGGGAGGACCCAGCAAGGTCTGTCGAAATTCTTCTTGGCTTACCTGTATATCATTCCTTCCTCCTAGGTGTAGGGCAGGAATAAGGGGGCATTACCACCTATTATCAGACAAAGTAACTCAGATAATTTCTTTTTTTTTGTTTTTGTTTTTTTCTCCGTGCCCAGGCTGGAGTGCAGTGGTGTTATCTTGGTTCACTGCAACCTCCACCTCCCAGGCTCAAGTGGTCCTCCTGCCTCAGCCTCCTGAGTAGCTGGGACTACAAGTACACACCAGCACACCCAGCTAATTTTTGTATTTTTTTGTAGAGATGGGGTTTCACCGTGTTGCCCAGGCTGGTCTTCAACACCTGGACCCAAGTGGTCTGCCTGCCTCGGCCTCCCAAAGTGCTGGGATTACAGGTGTGAGCCACCGTGCCCAACTGAAAATTTATTTATGGCCAACTCTTAAACAGAAATAGGGGAAGGTTGGAGTAATATGTCTAGGTTTTATGGCTGGCTTTAGGGGAGGGGGTTTGAGTTTCCCTGACCCATCTTAGGAAAGAGGAATTGGAGTTTCCGTGGCTTGACTTGGAAGAAGAAAGATGGGCAGGAGGTCAGAGAGCCTTTGCTCTAAGGCTGCTTCTGAGGCTTTCCAGTCTCTTTGAGTTCAACGTACTTGCTATGCCAAAACACCATACTCTGGGATATGGTTTTCTGAGCTCCAGCAATGTAAAAATGTTAAAGGATTGTGGGTGCTTACAATAAGTAAAGTTTCAAGAGTTGAAGGATGGTCCTTGGCAAACTCTAGAGCTCATGCCCCCTCTAACATACATAGACTCTAGTCATGTCCAGGTTTTTGTTGCAGTGTAGAAAGCCAGGTTCAGTGTTGCCAGATGTTTAGAATCTTCAAGAGATAAATATGTGTTAAAGATTTTATTTAGGCTGGCCTAAATAAAAGTGGCTTATGCCTATAATTCCAACACTGTGGGAGGCCGAGGTGGGCGGATCACCTGAGGTCAGGAGTTCGAGACCAGCCTGGCCAACATGGTGAAACCCTGTCTCTACTAAAAATACAAAAATTATCTGGGTGTGGTGGTGGGCGCCTGTATTCCCGGCTGCTCGGGAGGCTGAGGCAGGAGAATTCCTTGAACCCAGGAGGCAGAGGTTGCAGTGAACCGAGATTGCACCATTGCACTCTAGCCTGGGCAACAGAGCAAGACTCCGTCTCAAAAAAAAAAAAAAAAAAGATTTTCTTTAACTCCTTAATGAGGAAACTGGTGAGATGTTCAAACCAGTCAAAAGAATGGACGCATTCTTTCATATAGATCAGGAATGTTGAAATGGATGTGCAAGTGGGGGCAGAACTGGTTTTTCCACAGGAATAAGTTTGTGTGTTCCCAGGACAGTATTCATCTGCATGTGTGTGGACAAGAATCATCGCCCATTGCTATTCAGTTATCTACAAGGAAGAATTTTTGCTTCTGTATGGCATATGTACCTGAGAATGACCCTATGGTCTAAGAAGAATGTGTGTTCTGAGTTCCAAGCCACGGAATCACAGAGTGGCCAGCCTGGAGGTTCACTCTTTTTTTTGAGACGGAGTCTAGCTCTGTTGCCCAGGCTGGAGTGCAGTGACACGATCTCGGCTCACTGCAAGCTCTGCCTCCCAGGTTCATGCCATTCTCCTCCCTCAGCCTCCCAAGCAGCTGGGACTGCAGGCGCCAGCCACCATGCTCGGCTAATTTTTTTGCATTTTTGGTAGGATTTCGCCGTGTTAGCCAGGATGGTCTCAATCTCCTGACCTCGTGATCCGCCCACCTTGGCCTCCCAAAGTGCTGGGATTACAGGCGTGAGCCACTGCGCCTGGCTGGTTCACTCTTTGTGAGGAACATCTGAACCCTTGGCCCCATCCTGTGGTACGCAGGCCATATGGGGGATCAAGGCCCTTTGGGGTTAAATTGAGGTTGCCAGATGGAGGTTGCTAAGGGAAGGGTGCCATTTGAAAATACTATATAAACTGATGCTTTTAACAAATGGTAGTGGTCCTCCTGTCCAGCCCACTACCACTACCCGTAAGTCCCCTCAGTAAACCTGCCTCATTCAGTGACTCTGGGTCTCTTCCGCCTCTCAAACATGGTGCCATCCCTACTGAAGTTAATAGGGGTGCGGCACAACAGCTTCAATGGAAAATTATGCGTTGTCTAGACAGCACAACCTTCCAGGTTCCAGCCTTTGTCTTTGAGAAGTCTTATATAATTCTGTTAAGTTGTAGACACCTGATAGCAACTCAAAATAATTCTTGCCTATAAATAGGTAAATTAATTCTGCCCACTGGAGGGACAGCTCTCACGCCGATGGAACAACCAGTTTTGTGTCCATTTGCACATTCATTTTACATTCCTTTTTTTCCAGATAAATTTGCCATTCTTTGACTTCACTTTTGGATTGATTCTAACATCTGCTTGGTTCACTCGTAATTAAATAAAATGTTTAACATGTGTTCATTTCATAATTATGAGAACATGACATACGTTTTTGGGAAAATTATCTTTTAATAAAATAAGCAAGTAAATAATATATCGATGGTGTACTGTGTGATGCAGAAAATGAAGCAGAGTGTTGAGGAATGCAGGACATGTTATTTTAGAAGTGTTCCAGGAAACCAGGGAGGCGGAGGTTGCAGTGAGCTGAGATAGCGCCACTGCACTCCAGCCTGGGCGACAGAGCGAGACTCCATCAAAAAAAAGAAGTGTTCCGGGAAAACCCTTCTGTGAATAAAAATGCAAGCACATAGGCGGGGCGCAGTGGCTCACGCCTGTAATCCCAGCACTTTGGGAGGGCGAAGCGGGCAGATCATGAGGTCAGTTCAAGACCAGCCTGGCCAACATAGTGAACCTTCGTCTCTAAAAATACAAAAAAATTAGCTGGGCGTGGTGGCACGCGCCAATAGTCCCAGCTACTTGGGAGGCTGAGGCAGGAGAATCGCTTGAACCCGGGAAGCAGAGGTTGCAGTGAGCCAAGATGGCGCCACTGCACTCCAGCCTAGGCGACAGAGTGAGACTCCATCTCGAAAAACATAAAAAATAATTTTAAAAAATGCAAGCACTGTGGAAGGTCAAGGTAAGAGGATCTTTTGTAGCCCAGGAGTTTGAGACGACCCTGGGCAACATGGTGAAATCCAGTGTCTACCAAAAACACACAAATTAGCCAGGCGTGGTGGTACCCGCCCGTTGTCCCAGCTCCTCAGGAGGCTGAGGCGGGAGGATCGCTTGAGCCCGGGAGGTGGAGGCTACAGTGAGCCATGATCGCGCCTTTGGACTCCAGCCTGAGTGACAGAGCAATACCCCATCTCTTAAAAAATAAAAATGCTAAAAGAATTATTCACGTTCTTCTGAAAATCAAATTTAACTGGGTGTCCTGTATTTTATCTAGCAACCGTATGGTGAGTGGTCTCAGAAGACCCGCGCTGGGTAGAGGGATCTGGGCTGAGAAATATCCCGGCCCGCCCCGCGTGGAGGCGGGGCCTGGGAAGTGGGCGTGGCACCAGCGGCTCCGCTCCGTCACGTGCCCACCGCGCCTGCAGCGCAGTCAGCCGAGTAGAGCGCCAGGCGGCTACGGCAGCTAAGGAGGCGGTGGCGCCCGCGGCCGCCGCGTCCGGGCTGAGGCGATGGCGGCGACTGCGGTGGCGGCGGGGGCGGGGGCTGTGGCGGGAACCGAGTCGGCCCAGGGTCCCCCGGGCCCGGCAGCGGCGCTGGAGCTGTGGCTCAGTGAGTAGCCTGGCAGGCCCTCGGCGCGGCCGCTGCGCCGCACGTGAGGCCTCGCTTCCCGCCTCCCGGGGCCTTGCTTCTGGGCGGGCGGCCGCAGGGGAGGCTGGCGGCCGGGTAGGGGGTCTGGGCCCTGCGCGGTGGGGAGGATCGCCCAGAGGTCCGCGGAGAGAAGCCCCAACCATCCGCCGGGGCTGCGGCCCCCGTCTGCGCTCTGCCCCTCCCCCTCCGCCCACCCCTCCCTTAGCCGCAGAACAGGACCCGGACCCCGACCCCAATACCAATGGCTACGTGACCTGCGCTTTCCTCTGTGCCAGGCACTGTGCTCACAGCGCCTGAGCCCTGCTTATCCTCGTTCCCACCCCGAGCTGGCTTCTATTATTAACCCCACTAGGGAAGCGGGGACGTTGAGGCTTAAGGAGACGCAGTCGTGCAAGACACGCAGTCTGTTTGGAGCTGAGAAAGATCTCTATCTGGCTACCGCGTCAAAAAGAGCTTTTTTACCTCTTGTGTTTACTTCGGCCAGACTTTTTTTAAAAAACGCATATATATATGTGTTTTTTCCCCCCCTCTAAGAGACGGGGTCTCATTATGTTACCCTGGTTAGGCTCAAATCCCTTGGCCGGAATTCTTCTGCATGTCTCCTGTAAGCTTCACAGTAATCTTAGGGGCTATTATTATCTCCGTTTTACCAATGAGGGATTGAGGATAAAGAGGTTAAATAATATTCCCCTTGTACCCAGCCCTGCTAGGTGCCGGGAACACTGAGAGGCATAACACAGGGTCCTTGCTCACAAAAACACTTTTTAGTGGGTACAGGCCGGCAGTCATATCACCTTACTAACGGGATTGGCGAGGAGGAGGAGGGCGTTCGTTTCACCTGTTGTGGTAGAAGTTGGTTTACCTGGGGGTCGTCACAGCCGACCGCATTCCAGGCAGAAGAAGCTGCATGTGCAAAACCTGGGGACAAGAGAATGTGGAGCACTTCGGGAACAAGTAGGTCAGTCCGCTGGAGTGCAAGCCTAAAGCGCAGGAATCCGGGAAAGGCTGCACGGCTAATTGGGGCGAGATCTTCATGAGCCTTGTGTGCTGCAGAAAGGAGTTTGTTTTTTCCGAGGGCGGGGGAGCTGTTTGGGAGTTTTCAGCCAGAGAATCTGATCAAGGAAGCCTGTTAAAGGCGTCACTTGCAGACATATGGTGCTAAATTGGGCGGAGAGGGTGAGACTTAAGGCAGGGAGAGCAGCTAAAAAGCTCTTTTGGTGGTGGTTGGGGGTCGCAGGAGGACTAAGGCAGTGGGGAGAGGGAGAAGTAATGAGCAGGCGCAGTCAGCAGCCTCGGTGCCTTGGATTGGAGACAGGGGACAAGGAGAAATCTAGGCTAGATCGCAGATTTCAGGCTCGAGGAACTGGTGGGTTACAGATGTCTCCCCTGTGAGGAGGAGCTGGTGTAGACAGAGAAGGTTGAGATGTGGAGTTTGAGGTGCTGTGGCATAGTCAAAAAAGAGATGCCCTCTAGGCAGCTGGTTGGCACCGGAGAGGGCAAGTGTGGGATGTACGGTTTGGGAGTCTGGTTCATTGGCAGTCCGCTTGCGGGAGAAGCTTGTGTATATTAAGAGCAGAGGTTTGGAGAGAGAGCGTGGGGAGCCCCAGCATTGAAGAGGCAGATGGGAAGAGAAGACTGAAGGCTGAGCAGAAACAGGCAGGGGGAGACCTGCAGGGGCACCCACTGATAGCAAAGGAGGGATGTGGTTGTAAGGTAGTTTTGCTGCTTAAAAATGGGGTAGAATGAGGAAGGAGAAGAGGGAACTTTGAATTTGGTAACCAACCAGTTATTTAATGAGACGTCCTTGAGTTAAACAGTAAAGACAGAAGGTAGTAGTTTTAGGAGGCAATGGAGAACAGAAGGCTTAGACTGGAGTTGCAGGAAAAAAAAAAAAAAAAAAGACTGCTCATGCCTGTAATCCCAGCACTTTGGGAGGCTGAGGTGGCGTGATCCTTTGAGCCCAGGAGTTTAAGACCGGCCTGGGCAACAGGGTAAAACCCCATCTCTACTAAGACACAAAAAATAGTCATGTGTGGTTGCATACACCTGTAATTCCAGCTACTTGGGAGGCTGAGCTGAGAGGATCGCTTGAACCCTTGGGGCAGAGGTTGTGGAAGTGGAGCCGAGATTGCACCACGGACTCCAGCCTAGGCAATAAGGCGAGTCTGTCTCAAAAAAAAAAAAAAAAAAAAAAAATGCAGCTGGAGTAAGAGAAAGTAGCTGCCTCAGGTGGAGGAGATAAAAGGAGAGCTTGGGCTTGGAACTGCTCAAGGACACGGTTCTTCAACTCCAACTTTTTTTGAAACAGAGTCTCACTCTGTTACCCAGGCTGGAGTGCAGTGGCATGATCTCAGCTCACTGCAGCTTACCCCTCCTGGGTTCAAGCATTTTTTCCACATCAGCCTCCCCAGTTCTAGCTTTTTTAAAAATTTATTTATTTATTTATTTATTGAGATGGAGTCTCACTGTGTTGCCCAGGCTGGAGTGCAGTAGTGCCATTTCGGCTCACTGCAACCTCCGCCTCCTGGGTTCAAGCAGTTCTCCTGCCTCAGCCTCCCGAGTAGCTGGGATTACGGGCACATGCCACCACAACGGGCTAATGTGTGTGTGTGTGTGTGTGTGTGTGTGTGATGGAGTTTCGTTCCTGTCCAGGCTGGAGTACAATGGCATGATCTTGGCTTACTGCAGTGTCCACCTCCCAGGTTCAACAAGTGATTCTCCTGCCTCAGCCTTCCAAATAGCTGAGATTACAGGTGTTAGCCACCACATCCGGCTAATTTTTGTATTTTTAGTAGTGATGGGGTTTCACCATGTTTGTCAGGCTGGTCTCGAACTCCTGACCTCAGGTGATCCGCCTGCCTTGACCTCCCAAAGTACTGGGGTTACAGGCATGAGCCACTGCGCCCAGCCCAGGCTAATTTTTAATATTTTTTGGTAGAGATGGCGTTTTACCATGTTGGCCAGGCTGGTCTCAAACTCCTGACCTCAAGTTATCTGCCAGTCTTGGCCTCCCAAAGTGCTGGGATTACAGGCGTGAGCCACCGTGCCCGGCCTAATTTATTTTTTATTATTATGGTTTTTTTAATCGCATATACATTGTGTTAAGCTCCAGCTTTTGGGGGCAATGTCCCAAAGTTGCTAGATCTTCCTGTTTTTCAGGAACGTCTAGAACCTATACTCTTAAGTGAAATCTCTTGGGTTTTCAGAAGTTGGCGCCGACTTTGGGCCATAATTTGGGGAAGGCCAGGCAGAATAAATGTGTGGGGAGGGTGCAGCCAGTGGCCTCCTCAGCCGTTTTTCATGAGGCTTGAATGTAGAAGGAGGGAGAAAGGGTAGCAAGAGGGAATTTAGGGGTAAAGGAGATTGTTTTAGTAGGAGAGGGGGACATGTGAGCCCCCCTTCATGTTGATGTTCCTTTGGGGAACTGCCCCTCCCCAATTCTGGGTCCAGTGTCCCATCCATTGCAGAGGGGCCTGAAGGTGCTCAGAGCCAGAGCAAAAAGGGGGGGCCTAGGCCGGGCGCGGATCACAAAGTCAGGAGATCGAGACCACGGTGAAACCCCGTCTCTACTAAAAACACAAAAAATTAGCCGGGCGCGGTAGTGGGCGCCTGTAGTCCCAGCTACTCAGGAGGCTGAGGCAGGAGAATGGCGTGAACCCAGGAGGTGAGGCTTGCAGTGAGCCGAGATCGCGCCACTGCACTCCAGCCTGGGGGACACAGCGAGACTCCGTCTCAAAAAAAAAAAAAAAAAAAAGGTGGGGGGCCTGGCCTTACAGAGAGGAAGGACACCTTTTGTTTTTCCGACTGTCTGGGGAAGGAGATCAAGATGATTGCACATGCAAACAAGTTTGTCCGTGCCACCATCGCCACCCGAGTATTAGGTGCTCAAGTGGAACAGGGGACTTGAGGAAGGTGGGGAAGCGTGGGGGAGTGGCTGGTGAGGCAAACCGAAGGGGGCCCACCCGGACAGAGAGCTGGGTTTCTCAACCTTTGCATGAGTGACATCTTGGTCCCAATAATTCTGTGTTGTGGGGGCTGACCTGTGCACTATAGGATGTTTAGTGGCATCCCTGGCCTAAACCCACTGGATACCAAAGCTCACACCCTTCCTCTCAGTCATGACAGCCAAAAATGTCACCAGATACTGCCATGTTTCCCCAGGGTTGAGTGGGATGGGATCACTCCTACCCATCTCCCTGCTGAGATCCTGCGTTAGGACTGTGGAGTGCTGACTGGACATCAGGAATGTGGGTTGCAGTCTTCATAGGCTGTATTTTTTGTTGTTGTTTTTCTTCTGGGAATAGGAGCAGAGAAGTGAACGATGGGTTAAGCCAGGTTTGTTGGGGATGGCGGGGCATTGGTGCTGCAATGGAGTGGATAAGGGGGTCGTGGGATTGATGATATGGCCAAGACGTGGGTGTAGTTGAAGGCAAATGCGCATGGGTCTGAGCTGGATGAACTCACCAGGGGGTGGTGTTTGAGGAATGGCCAAGCTCAGGTCACTGGCCAAGCTCAGGTCCCTGCAAACAAGGCAGCTGTATCTTTAAGATGGGAAGAGAGTAATAAAACCTGTTCTTAGGGTTATTGAAAGAATCGAAGACTTTGGTACACAGAAAGCACTTAAAATAGTGCCTTACTATGCTTGTAGTAAGTGCTCAAGAAGAGCCAGCTATTATTATCATTAGGCTTTTATAGCTGGAAGTAATCGAAACTAACTCATACCCATACTCACTTACCAAAAAAAGGAAAGTAAAGAAAGTCCCAGAGTAGGGGTAGGCCTACCAGGAGCTCCATGGTTCACTTCTTTGATTGAATTTTCTCTGCTTTGCTCTTGTCCGTACTGCAATCCCAGCAGAATTCATTTCTTTTCTCCATTGATTTGCAAGTTATTGCTCTTCTGCCTGTCGGCTTGGGTTTAGTGTCCACCTTGGAGTCAGCATGACCCGGGGTCATGAAATATGAAGATGGCCAGACCTGGGGTGGGGTGGGGTGGGGTACAGTACCCAACCCACAGCCAAGGGTGGGGAAGGTGAATGGGGGACCTAGAATTGAGGAGAGGGGTTGTTCCCAGAGGAATATCAGGAAGCTGTTACCAGAATCTCATGCCTTAAAAATACAAAGGCAGCGCCTGTGCATTCTGTCATTCGGTTCTGCAGCCTTTTTTTCCACTTCATGTATTTTGGTCATTGTTCCACATGACTGCAGATGTAGTCACCTTGTTCTTTTAAATGAAAAGCCTTAGATGCCCTGTTGTATGGGTGTCCTAGGATCCCTTTAACCGGGTCCCTGTTGGTGGACATCTGAGGTGTTGCTAGCCTTGCGCTATTAAAAACAGGACTCCTTTTGGACTCTGGGATTCTAGCTCTGGTAGTGCTGCCAGGGAGGCCATGGCTTAGTAAAAGTTGGGTGCTCAGTAAATCTGTTTCTTCCTTCCACTTGGAATGATGTGTAGGACATTCCCATGCTGGGTCTTGGAGGTTTTCACACGTGCTGAATTGGATGATTGCCGGACTCTTGGGGTCCACATGTTCCTCCTGGGGAAGGAGTCCCCCTGCAGCGTGGACTGCTGAAGGATTGCATTCTGCTCCTTGGGGTGACCGCTTCCACACGGCGTTGGGGCTCTCCTTGCTAGCACAGGCAGCTGCTGGTGCCAGTCATGACCCTGGTGGTTGGTTGGCAGCTGACTTGGGATGGTTTGGCTTCTGAATTAGTCAATCTTGGATGAGCCATTTCACTCACAGCTGGAGGTCTCAGCTGTTTTCTTAACACCTCTGGCCCTGTAGCATGCTTGAAATGAATCATACAAACACTGCTTTTAGTGAGGAAATACATGGCAGCAGTGTTATTTCTCAGCACCCCTCTGTCCTGCTCAAGTGCCAGCTATAAATAAACCGCCTTGGAGTCTGGGATAGCCCAAAACAGAGAAGGCATCCTTTGAATTTCTCCCTGGCCATGCCCTGTCTGGCCCCTAGCTAGTCCTTGGAGCAGATTGGTATCAAACCGATCTGCAGGGGTTGCTGTGGCCTGGTCAGACTCAGCTGCTGGCCCCCTGGGGGTCACTTTTTGGATTTGCGCAAGTCCTCTGAAATAGTTTGTGCAGGCTGGGATTATGTGTTTAGGGGCCCAGTTATTTCAGACTGAGATAGCCACTGATCTCCCCGTATTATCAGTATGTCCAGCCAGCTGGCCAAACACTGTCTAGGAAAAGAGGAATCATTCATTCAGTAGGTACCTGCCAGCATCTCTTCTAGGTGCTGGAGCCTATGAGAGTGAATGAGACAGGCCTCCTTTTTGCCTTCAAGGAGTTTATGAGTACAAAGATCAAGCTGGCTTCCAAGAGAGGCCCTAACTTTGTCAAGGAACTGAAGACCTCACCTCAAGAGTGGTTAGAAACGCATCCAGGCTGTGGAGCTGGGCCAGCCTGCAACTGAATTTTTGTTTCTGCCCTTCCCTTGCTTTGTGGCTGGGTAGGTTTCTTCATCTGTAAAATGGTGTAGATGTTTGTGCCACCCTGGGTTCTGAGGACATCTGGCATGGTACCTGGCCCATAGTCGGTACTTTTTCTTTTTTTCTTTTTTTTTTTTGAGACAGAGTTTTTTTTTGTTGCCCAGGCTAGAGTGCAATGGCGTGATCTCAGCTCACCGCAACCTCCGCCTCCCGGGTTCAAGCAGTTCTGCTTTAGCCTCCCAAGTAGCTGGGACAACAGGCATGCAGCACCACGCCTGGCTAATTTTGTATTTTTAGTAGAGATGAGGTTTCTCCATGTTGGTCAGGCTGGTCTTGAACTCCCAACCTCAGGTGATCTGCCCACCTCAGCCTCCCAAAATGCTGGGATTACAGGCATGAGCCACCGTGCCTGGCCTCATAGTAGGTACTTTTTAAAATGACAATGATCACCGTGACTTTTGAGCCCTGATTAATCTTTTTGTTTTCTTCCCCGCCGCAGGAGAATCCATTTTCCTTTTATTCATTATGCAGTGGGGCTAAAGTGCAGGGCACAAAGGCTTTTACACAAAATTTTAAGTTTTTATGTATAGGTTTTCATGGAAATTTAAACATTTAACAGTGATAGGGATAATAACCCATCATAAGTACATTATCACTAGGTTTCAGCAACTCTTTATTTTGCCATTTATTTTCAACTATCAATCCAAATATTCTGGAAGTATTTTAAATCAAATATACAATATCATTAATTTTAGAAAAAAGTAACTATTATCTGACAAGTAAAGATAAAAAAGAAAATACCATTATCACAACTAATACAATTTTCAATATATAAAATAGATCAAATTGTGTATTCACCAAAGAGTAGACTCTACAACCACTGAAGGCTTTGCATGAAATGTTTTGACATGGTTCATCTAATATTTCATCTTCAGACACAAAAAATCAATACATGAAAATATTTAATTACGTATAAAGGGCCATCGACTATGATTGTAGGAGGAAATTGCAAATCAACAGTGGGATATTCCAAACCACTGTATTGTGAAAGGAAACGCAAGAAAGAAAATAGGAATTCCTATTGTTCCCAATAAAAGGAAAGGAAAGGTAACTCCTAGAGAGCCACTCCCTCACTTTGCCATATTCAGATGTCTAGAACATGGCACAGGTCTGGCCATATCCAAGGGAAGATGAGGATTCAGGGTATAATAAAAGATAGCAGAGATCATGGGGTGTCTTAGGATTCTGTCCCCCACATCCACCCTTGCACAAAAACTTAATCTAACATCTCACATTGGTGGGGATCTGGTGTTCTTGTAAGAAAAAAAGTCTCAGAAAATGTTTCCCTTGTAGACTCTGGGGCAGTTGATCCTCAGCACTTTCTATTTTGGAAGCCAGAAAATTCTTTCTTGATTGAGAAGCGGGGCAGTCCTGTGCACCATAGGATTCCCATTGTTGACTGCATGTCAGTGGGTGCCACCAGTTATTAAAACCAGAAATATCTGGGCAAACTTCCTCAGGATGCAGAAGCTGCTCCCGTGAGAACCGCTGCTCCTCTCCATATGTGAACAGACTGACAGATGCAGGCAGCACCAGCAATCTCTTGAACCACTGAGGTGCACTGGAAAATGTGAGTCGCAGTGTGTCCCTGTGTTAGAATTATTAAGAGGCTTTTGTTTTGTTGACAAGTGCTGAGACCATACAATGCACCATGGCAAGATTAACTGGGAAAATTATCTTTTCATAAAGTTTTGAACCCAGATGTTGCTCCTTTGTTGTTTTCCTGGAACTGGGTAAATTCAGTTTTCACTTCCATAGCTCCCCTAACAATCCCAAGGCCAGGTCTTTTACTGCTTCCCTAGGTGGCGTGACCATTATCAGCCTGGGGGAAGATGAGCTGATTTCATCTCTTATCGGCCTGGGGGAAGATAAGCTGATTCATCTCTTCCTTTATAACCATGACATGGGGGCCTCATTTCACATGCACAGATACCCTCCAAAGACTAGATGAGCAGGCCTGAGCCACCCTGGTGCTTGGAGTAGTGACAGCTTTGCCCCGATGCCACTCTCTTCCCACCATTGTTGAGTTTTGGGCCATCATGCATTCAGTGCCTCAGTGGACAGAGAGCCAAACGCAGGTGCTCTCACAAATCTGGAGCCAATTAAAGTTTTTTGGACTCCAGCTCAGCTCAGACCACTGTCACCAGCTGGGGACTGTGGACACCACTGGCACTTGAGACTGTGGGTGACTCTGGGCTCTGAGCAGGGATGTGCTGTGTCCATGTGACACTCCTTCTCCCCAACAGTTGTTCAAGAAAGTGGTGCCCTAGGAATGCCATCTGGACCCAGTGGAACAAGAAGGGCAGAAAGCACCTGGCACCCACTGTTCATACCACTGTCACCCAGTTCCACAGTGTGGCTAACGTGAAGATGTTTCCTCTCGATGAAAATCTAAACAACAACAAGAAAAAAAATCCTAATTTTGTTGTTTCTCTCAGCAGAAGTGATATTTTTCTAGTCTTTACAGTTGAGAAGTTCAGGATTTTATAATGTTAATTTCTCTCTTTAAGATGGCATTAGTGCACCGAATACCAATGAAATTCATGCTGATAGCCCTTGTCATAGCAGCGGCATGGCATGTCGATGCAAGTCTTTGTATTCACATGGCGGTGTTGACACAGCCTCCAGTTCCTGTGCTTTATCTTTGTGAAGAAAACTAAATAGAAAATACAGGTCACGGTCATTTGCCAAGGCATGCAGGTCGAAGTAATATTTTGTATAAACACTGGCAGACACATGAATATTAAACTCAAGTGGCTCCAAAAAACACTTCTCCATCTTGCTCATGTTCTCAACTGCCATGTCCTTGGGATTCTGGCTGTCATCCACACTCCACAGACCACGAGTTCTCCAAACCTTGGAGGCAAGAAGCATGGCTTCGAGGACAATCTTTTTCCAATTAGTAGGACAAAGATCGATGTTAGCATTAGTTAAAAGTCATTGGATGTACACCAAAGCAACGACTGCACATGGAGCTGTAAGTTTTATGACTTGAAAAAGAGTACAGAAATATCTGAAAGTACAGTTGTGTTTGGGATCATGCTCGAAGGATTTGCCTGGAACCTTCTCTTGTGAAAGTAGATATATTGGCTTGTCAAAAATAGCCACAGATCTATTTGCGTATCTGTGCTTTGTGTTGTAATATATTGCCAAAGTCACACTTTCTAATGTGTGTCTAAGATCAGGCTGGCTGACTGTGCTGTCATCTAGCAGTATGGTGGAACAAGAGCTGTGTTTTCTATCAAGATGCTATGGAGGTATATAATATAGGTGAGAGCTCCTCCTCTTTTCTTGCACACTCATTTGATACTTTCTTAAAAAGAGTGTGCTTTCCCTTGGATGGTCAGAAGCAAAATATTTGAACATCTCCTGGTCGCCGATGTGCTGCAGGTCATGGCCCTCGGGGGCTCCTAAATCTGGCTAGGCAGGCTCCACAGCAGTGGGGTGTGGCACTACTGCCACCTCCGCCTCCACGATGTTGTTATAGCTGCAGGGCGGTTCCTCCCACTGCACCCTGCACTGGCTTTGCTTGGGGCTGGCATTGGGGAGCAGCGTGTTCCATCTGTTGCACCTCTGCTCCTCTCTGCCTTGGCCTGCAGCTTTGCTTGACGCCGCCTCATAGATGTCAGCACTGCAGGACAGCTCCCCAGACCCCCTGTGCTGGCCCCGCTTGGGGCTGGCATTGGGAAACAGCATGTTCCATCTACTGCACCTCTGCTCCTCTCTGCCTTGGCCTGCACCTCTGCTTGCCACCACCTCATAGATGTCAGAGCCGCAGTACAGCTCCGCAGACCCCCTGGGCAGACCCTGCCTGGGGCTGGCGTTGGCACACAAGCAACAGCTCAGTGTGTTCCCCATGAGGCAGCTCGGCTCCTGGCTCCTCTCCTCTCCAGCAACTTGGGCCTTCCCTTGCTTCCAAGTCTGCAGAGCTCAGCACTTCCACCTCTTCCCAGCAAAGGCACGCTGGCAGGGCTAGCCCCTGGCTATGGGGCTGCACCCCACCAGCAGCGCGCACCCCCCCTCAGCCGCCTCCCCGAGGTGACTTGTCTACAAGGGTCTCTTGGGAACCTGTTTTGTTTCTTTGGAATGGGTCTAGATGCAGCAAGCCTGAGAGCTGTGATTGCAGAGAAGAGAGCACAGAGGGAGCTCCTCCTCCTGCCACTGCTTCCCACCAACTGAAGGAGGTTGCCCTGCCAACTGCCAGAACTCCCTCCTGGTTCCCAGGAACCAATCAGGCCCAGAGTCCCCTCCATGCGCCCCCGCCCCCATTGTGATGTGGGAGCCTAGGCACTGGCTCACCAGGCCCCGCCCTGCCGGCAGCCCTGCCCCTACCTTTCATTCAATTGCTGGCTGCTGGGAGCTTTCAGGTTTCTCCAACGTGAGGAACATCTTAACGGTTTCAGCAAACGAAGAGGCTTATGTAAAAGAAAACCAAGCCAGGCACGGTGGCTCACATCTGTAATCCTAACACTTTGGGAGGCTGAGGCGGGTGGATCACAAGTTCAGGAGATCAAGACTATCCTGGCTAACATGGTGAAACCCTGTCCCTACTCAGGTGATCCACCTGCCTCGGCCTCTCCAAAGTGCTGGGGTTACTGATAAATCTTGATTGAGTCCTCATGATACAAGTTCTAGCAAATAAGAAAGAAACCTCCTTATGTTTTGTAAATTATTTTGCTGTTTGGCCTTGGTTAAGGGTTTGGAACATAATTTAACCTCAGAGATTTTTTCTTTCTTTAAGAAAGCTGGGGCCGGGCGCGGTGGCTCAAGCCTGTAATCCCAGCACTTTGGGAGGCCGAGACGGGTGGATCACGAGGTCAGGAGATCGAGACCATCCTGGCTAACACGGTGAAACCCCGTCTCTACTAAGAAATACAAAAAACTAGCCGGGCGAGGTGGCGGGCGCCTGTAGTCCCAGCTACTCAGGAGGCTGAGGCAGGAGAATGGCGTGAACCCGGGAGGCGGAGCTTGCAGTGAGCTGAGATCCGGCCACTGCACTCCAGCCTGGGCTACAGAGCGAGACTCCGTCTCAAAAAAAAAAGAAAAAAAAAAAAAGAAAGCTGGTGTCGTCTGGGCACGGTGGCTCACGCCGGTAATCCCAGCACTTTGGGAGGCCGAGGCAGGCAGATCACGAGGTCAGTAGTTCGAGACTAGCCTGGCCAATATAGTGAAACCACGTCTCTACTAAAAATACAAAAAATTAGCCAGGCGTGGTGGCGGGCACTTGTAATCCTAGCTACTCGGGAGGCTGAGGCAGGAGAATCACTTGAACCCAGGAGGCGAAGGTTGCAGGGAGCCAAGATCGTGCCACTGCATACCAGCCCAAGTGACAGAGCGAGACTCCATATTAAAAAACAAAAACAAAAACGCTGGTGCCCATCAGTGCTGTGTCTCTTTTACTTGGCAGCCAGGGAGGAGGGAGAAGGCTGGATTCTATGAGGGGAGTTTGGGCCATGCCTCCTGTTCTCTGCTTCTCCCGTTCTCTCCCTGCCTCCACCTGTGCTCTCCCTGCCTCTCCTGTTCTCTCCCTCCAGGTCCAGTCACATGCGAAGTCAGAATTCTTTTGAAGTGTCAGCTTTGACCTTGTAGTGAACTGAAACAGAAGCTTAAATGGTATAGACTTTAGGTGATTCAGACATAATCGCTGAGTGTCACTACTTTAAATGATTTATTTGATGAGTTTCTATTTTGTACCTATGGGTAAGGCACTGTAAGGAAGATATGGTTTCTGCCCTCAAGGTTTCATTCTCTTTAGGTAGGACAAGGCATGTGTACATATTACAGTAAAATCCAGAGACTGTACATAATAATGAACAATTATCTTTTATAGACCTCTTAACTGCATGCTGCTGTACTAAGCATTTTAGACACTTTCTCCTTTAAATCATGACAGTCCCGTGAGGAAGGTACTATTTTCCCCATTTTATTTTTTCATTTGGAGAGATGGGGCCTCACTATGTTGCCCAGGTTTGTCACGAACTCCTGGGCTCAGGCGATCCTCCTACCTTAGCCTCCCAAAGTTCTGGGATTACAGGCATGAGACACTGTGCCCAGACTGTTTTTATTATTATTTTTGAGACAGGGTCTCATTTTGTCCTCCCAGGCTGGAGTGCAGTGGCACAATCATAGGTCACTGCAGCCTCGACCTCCTGGGCTCAAGTGATCCTCCTGAGTAGCTGGGACTGCAGGTGTGTGCCACCATGCCTGGCCTTTTTTTTTTTTTTTTTTTTTTTGGAGACGGAGTCTCGCCCTGTCGCCCAGGCTAAAGTGCAGTGTCGTGATCTTAGCTCACTGCAACCTCCGCCTCCCAGGTTCAAGCGATTCTCCTGCCTAACCCTACTGAGTAGCTGGGACTACAGATGCATGCCACCATTCCCAGCTAATTATTTGTATTTTGGTAGAGACAGGGTTTCACCGTGTTGCCCGGACTGATCTCCAAGTCCTGAGTTCAGGCAATCCGCCCCCCTGGGCCTCCCAAAGTGCTAGGATTAAGGCGTGAGCCACTGTGCCCAGCTGTCTTATTTTTTAAAAAAATTTCTGTGGAAATTGGGTCTCGTTATGTTGCTCAGGCTGATCTCAACCTTCTAGACTCAAGCAGTCCTCCTGTCTTGGCTTCCCAGAGTGCTGGGATCATAGGCATGAGCTCCGGCGCCTACCCCTATTTTATTTTATATTTGAGGAACTGAGGCTCAGAGAGTCCAAGTACCTGTGACTAATAAGGGGTGTAGCTGGAGATCCCTATCGGAGAAGGGGCAGATAAAATACCTGTTCAGAGGAGGAGGAGGCAGCTTTTGTTTTATGGGGACAGGAGATAAAAAGATCAGAGAAGTCTTTAGGGTGGAATGTGAATTGGGACTCAAGGGTAGATAGGATTTTAAGGTACTGAACATAGGGAGAGAGCTTTGGGGGAGTGGGGAGGAGAATATAGGAATCACTGATCCTTCCCTCGCCCTTGTGTTCTCTCTTCACTTAGAATGGAGTCAGTGGGCAGGAAGATGGTAATTACCTGTCCGATGAGTCTCCCTATCTGGATACATGACTTCCACGTGACATAAATGTGACTGCAGTCAGGAAAAGTTCAACTCTGGGCTGTGTTGAGTAATCAGAGGGAGAAGCAGTGGGGCTGTTGTAGCGGGAGGGAGTTTTCTGCAGGAGCTGGAAGTTCAGATGGGTCTGGAAGAATGTGGATAGGGCACCGAGAGGCATAGAGCAGACATTCCGGCCAGGAGAATAATGGTATCAGAAGTACTGCCCTGAGAAGCAACACCTCATTTCCAGAGCCTAAAAGAGCTGCTCTGTCAGAACTAGTACGGTTTCTCATCGGAGCAGCTGGTCAGGCCAGGACTGGATGGCCAGAGGGGAATTGGAAGGGTGGTTGTTTTGTTTTTTTGTTTTTGAGGCAGGGCCTTGCTCTGCCGCCCAGGTTGGAGTGCAGTGGCCTGATGTCGGCTCACTGCAGCCTCAACCTCCCAGGCTCATGCAGTCTTTCCACTTCAGCTTCCTGAGTAGCTGTGACTGCAGTCACATGCCACCATGCCCAGCTAATTTTTTTTTTTTTTTTTTTTTCTGAGATAGAGTCTCGCTCTGTTGCCCATGCTGAGTGCAGTGGTGCCATCTCAGCTCACTGCAACCTCCACCTCCCGGGTTCAAGCAATTTTCCTGCCTCAGCCACCTGAGTAGCTGGGATTACAGGAACACTCCACCACGCCCAGCTAATTTTTGTATTTTTAGTAGACACAGGGTTTCACCATGTTGGCAAGGCTGGTCTCAAACTCCTGAACTCGAGTGATCTACCTGCCTCGGCTTCCCAAAGTGCTGGGATTACAGGTGTGCGCCATCGTGCCTGGTCTTAGTTTTTTTAAATGTTAGTAGATACGTGATTTCCTCATGTTGTCCACGCTGGTCTCAAACTCCTGGGCTCAAGTGATGCACCTCAGTCCCATGAAGTGCTAGGATTACAGGTATGAGCCACCGCGCTGCCACTAGAAGTTTTATGAACGGGCAGGATTGTATTCCTTCTGGTGGCGTGTTCTTGTCTTCCTGTTACACAGTTGAGACACTTCCAGGTGGCCTCTCCTGTCTCCGCTGGTCGCAGGCCAGGTGGGGACATCCCAACTCGGGTGTGAAGACAACACCCGGGCCAACCTCTGCACTAAAAGTGAAGCCGCTTTCAGGGGAATAACTTGTCAGGTAATTTTTTTTGAGACAGAGGCTCCCTCTTGTCTCCCAGGCTGGAGTGCAGTGGCGCGATCTCGGCTCGCTGCAACCTCCACCTCCCAAGTTCAAGTGATTCTCCTGCCTCAGCCTCCCAAATAGCTGGGATTACAGGCATGCATCACCACGCCGGCTAATTTTTTTGTATTTTTAGCAGAGACAGGGTTTCATCATGTTGGTCAGGCTAGTCTCAAACTCCTGACCTCAAATGATCCCCCCACAGCCTCCCAAAATGTAGGGATTACACACATGAGCCACTGCGCCCAGCCAGCTTGTTCTTTAATTTGCTGGTTCGTTCAATCAGCAAATACTCAGTAAGGGCATACCTACCATGTGCCCAACGCTGTGCTGGATGGTGGTGGGCAGCGCAGGCACAATTCCTCTCCTTCCAGCTGTCTGCCCACTGGTCTGATCCTATAGATCTGTGATAAGACAGCCCTTGGCCACCGTGTGTATGGGGAGGGATGTAAATGTCTTCTTCTTATGCATTCTCTAACTTTATTATTTATTTGACAGACAAAGCCACAGACCCAAGCATGTCGGAACAGGATTGGTCAGCTATCCAGAATTTCTGTGAGCAGGTGAACACTGACCCCAATGGGTAAGGTGACTTACACATAGTTGTCTCTGAGGGCACCCCACACTGAGTGTAGGCCTTTGTCTCTCAAGACTGTTTTAGGGTTAAGCTCTCTAGGCAAGGCTTGGTGGCTCATGCCTGTAATCCCAGCACTTTGGGAGACCAAGGCGGGAGGATGGCTTGAGCCCAGGAGTTTGAGACCAGCCTGGGTGACAGAGCAAGACCCTGTCTCAAAAAAATAGAAATACAGTCAGGCCGGCATTCATGCTCTCATTTTCCCCCATAATCCTGAGAATGTTATTTTTCTAAAATTAGCAAATTCATGTGGGGGAAAAAAAACACAGGATAGCTCATTTGCAATTAGCAGTTATTAATTTTAAATAGTGTTATAAAACACTAATGCTGAGAAGAACTCTGAATGTTACTGATAGAATATAGACACGTTACCTAATTAAAAGAGATCTGTGTATTCTCCACCATTTAAATGTAATCTTAAGAAAACGGAAAGGGGGAAAGTTTTATTGGATTCTGTTTCCACAGCATCTGGATAGGACCTGAAGACTCAGAATCAAGTGAGTCATCCAGATGTTTTGTTTTTGTTTTGTTTTGTTTTGTTTTCTTGAGACAGAGTCTCACTCTGTCACCCAGGCTGGAGTGCAATGGCACGATCTCAGCTCACTGCAACCTCCACCTCCTGGGTTGAAGCGATTCTCCTGCATCAGCCTCCTAAGTAGCTGGGATTGTAGGCACGTGCCACCACACCTGGCTAATTTTTGTATTTTTTTAGTGGAGATGAGGTTTCACCATTTTTGCCAGGCTGGTCTCAAACTCCTGACCTCAGGTGATCCACCTGCCCTGGCCTCCCAAAGTGCTGAGATTACAGATGTGAGCCACTGTGCCTGGCCCATCCAGATGTTTAATCTGTGTGGTGTCGCATATTTGGCCAGTTTGAACCGAGAGTTTGATCACACTTTCTGCTCTAGCATTTCCTGGGCATTTATCACAGCCATACAGGGCCTGTGCTGCTCTGGCTATGCATGGGACTGGGCTGGGACTGGAAGCTTGGAGTTTGGGGGCTGGGGGTTGGCTGAGGGGAAGGCAGTATGCCCTGGGCAGGAGGAGGACCTTGCATGCTGTAGGTGCAACCAGGGTGGGTGGGAGGTGGCCCTCTCCAGGGCCCCCGCAAGGGCTGTTTGTCAGGCACGCTCCACCTCTGCTTTTGGACACCAGCCCCTGGAAGAAAAGTGACTTTACTGAGCATGCTCAGCCACTTGGGTTAGTTTCTTCTTGCCTGCCCAGAGTCTAGGTCTTTTTGTTTCCCTGTAGCCCCACACATGCGCCCTGGCTACTGGCCCACAAGATCCAGTCTCCACAAGAGAAGGAAGCTCTTTATGCCTTAACGGTGAGTTTGACTTGCCTTGTAGCCAAGCTTTCCTGTCCTTGTGCTATAGAGAGCTGAGAGGCACTTTGCTTCCACCCAGATCCTTTCCATTGGGGCAGGGAGCTCCTCTGAGAGGTTCACCTTCACAGCAGGTTGGAGGAGGGAGTTCTGGGCCAGGGTCCCCACCCTTCTTCTCTTTCTCATCTGTTTCTTCAGGGCAGCATTGAGTCTACTGTGGGATAAGGAAAGGATGGTTTTATTTCATTTGCCCTTCTTAGACCAGGGCTGGCAAGTTCACGTGCCCTATCTAAAGAGGGCAGCTCTAGCACAGGGCCCACTGTCTGTTGGCAGGTATGAATATGGGCTCAGGATTGCTAGTTTAGGTCTTTGTGTATGTTTGAGAGTTTAGATGTTGGTGACTAATTTGCAGTGTTGAAAGCCACAGTATGGACCAGAGGAGGGGTCTGCAGGCCCAGCTTGCCTCTTGAGTGCCAGTGGGTGACGTCTGGCTGGTCTTGGGCACTGGATACCAGATTTCTGCCTCTGGGGAGGAATTGGTTCTTGAGCCACTTTCACCTCTCAAGGGGTCTCCTTAAAGGTGGGGTGACCTCAGGGTTTGACATACACCACTAAACTCTTTCCTGGGCATAAACCTCAGGCAGTTATAGCAAAATTGAACGGGGGACATTTTTTTCTTGATCTGAAAATGTCCTCTTCATCAAAACTTCAGTGTCCTCATAGGCTTGAGGCAGGGTTAGCCGTGGTTCCAGTGCAGTCTCCAGCAAGTGGTTACCAGCCTGGAGGGGAGCCTGGGACCACTGGCTTTCCACCTTCTCACGGGGGTCCTGTGTCTATGCAGGTGCTGGAGATGTGCATGAACCACTGTGGGGAGAAGTTCCACAGCGAGGTGGCCAAATTTCGTTTCCTGAACGAACTGATCAAAGTGTTGTCCCCAAAGGTGAGTACCTGGGCTTGGCTCTGCCCACTGTGCCACACCTACGCCCGCCGTCAAACTCCTGGTGCCCTCCTCAGGCCAGAGGCAGGCCCACACATGGACAAAACCTGCTCCTGCCTGTGAAAGCGCTCTTCTCTCCAAGCTCTAGGAAGAGGCTCTGCTCATCAGCTGACCTGTGCCCCTCACTGTTAGCGTTTTCACATTTCCCCTGTAAGAAGGCCATGGAGACGTGTGGCCTAGAGGAGATGAGGAACTCCAGCTTGGAGGCACAGGTTCCTGGTAAAGACAGTGAGAGATCCCAGGGGTGGCCTGAAGTTATCCTATCACCTCCTGCCTTGTCCTCTGCACCTGTCCTCCTGGCCCCTGTCTTAGCTCAGCTAGTCTCAGGTAACCAACATTGAGCCCTGCCTTGCTGTGTTCCCACAACAGTGCTGACACTGACTGTGGGTCCCACAGTTCATTTCAGTTCTGACACTCCTCAGAGCTGCATGCTACCCGGACCCCACGCGGTGAGGGCTCGGTGCTGCTTGGGCTTCCCGTGTTTCAGCTGCCAGCCATGAGTCTCATGTGTCCTCAAACTGCTGCACTTCTGCATCCCCAGCTGCAGATTCAGGGGTTCCCATGAACGCCCCCCCTCCCGCCGCCACACAGATTCCATAATTCCCTAGAATTATTCATGTATACAGGAAAGCACTATACTTTCTATCCCTGTTTTATTATAAAGGATACAAATGGAAGCAATGCATAGGCAAGGTCTTGGTGGGGCAAGAGGGGACAGATCTGCTGTCCCTCTCCTGGACTCTGAGCTTGCCGTCCTCCCATCGTAGGTTCAACTGAGAGGTTCTCTGAGCTTCCTTGTTTCAGTGTTTTTTTCTGTTTTTTTTTTTTTACACATCATTGTTGGCTTGAACTAGCTCTAGGTTTTATTACCTAGGCATGATCGGTCGAATCATTGGCCACGTAGTTGAACTCAATCTCTAGTTCACACCCCCCTGCCTGCCCCTGCCACTTCCGTCGGTGGGGATGTGAGGGCACAGGTCAGGGGATGGGGCTGAAAGTTTCAGCCCTCTGATCACAGGGTTGATCTCTTTGGAGTGGCCAGCCCTTGAAACTCTCTAGGCACTCACTGTAAGTCATTAGTGAAAACTCAGGTGCGCCCTGTGAGTGTGTCTCTTGAATAACAAGACACTCTTGCGATTCAGGAAATTCCGAGGGTTTCTGAAGTTCTGTGCCAGGAACTGAAACAAAGACCAAGTTGTTTTATTATATTCTTGTCTGTGGCAAAAAAAATGACTGTCTCCAGTGGTGTAGAACAGGCTCTGACCTAGGCCTCTGCATGGTGGGGTTTAGTGTGAGTATTGTGGAGATCAATTCCTTGAATCCCGGGAAGGACTCCGGGGCTGGGCGCCAGATGGGGTGGCCTCTAGTCTCTCCTCACACTCGTACCATTCCTGGGTGCTCGTGTCTCTGGGCCTCAGCAGCTACCTCTTCAGTTAAAGTGTCGGTCTCCCAAGTACCTTCCAGCTCTAGAATTCTCTTTCCTTTTTACTTTCAGTACCTGGGGTCCTGGGCCACAGAAAAAGTTAAAGGAAGAGTCATTGAAATACTCTTTAGTTGGACAGTCTGGTTTCCGGAAGACATCAAGATCCGAGATGCCTATCAGATGCTGAAGAAACAAGGTCTGACTTGCGTTACTGTGTCGTATTTCCTCTTGGCTCGGCCTGTATCTTCCTGTTTTTTCTTCTGCCTTATAATTTTTGTTGAAAGCTGGACTTCTTATGTAGGACCATAGACACTGAGTTTTGATTTTTTTTTTTTTACACAATAAATCTTTTATCTACTTACCTTTAAAAGCCATAGTGCAAACCTAGAAAGATGATGTAAGGCTTGCTTTTTTCTCTGTTGCCTGGATCATAGGAAACCACAGCGTGACAAAGGTCAAAATACAAGCTACGTATGTCACTAAAGCACTTATCTTTTAAAATTCTTGGTTGCTTAAAAACTAACTTTTTTTTTTTTTTTTTTTTTTTTTTTGAGACAAGGTGTTGCCCCATCACCTAGGCTGGAGCACAGTGGTGGAGTCATGGCTCACTGCAGCCTCGACCTCCGGGACTCCAGCCATTCTCCTGCCTCAGCCTCCCAAGTAGCTGGGACTACAGACGTGTGCCACCATACCCAGCTGATTTATTTACTTATTACTCTCCCACCCGCACCCCAACACACACACACACACACACACACACTCACACTCACTCTCCCTCTCTCTCTCTATCTCTATCTCTGTCTCTGTCTCACTTGCTCTCTTACTTACACCAAATATTTTTATTTTTTGTAGAGACAAGGTCTTGCAATGTTGCCCACGCTGGTCTCAAACTCCTGGGCTCAAATCCGATCCTCCCACCTCAGCCTCCCAGGCGTGAGCCGCCATGTCCATCTTTAATCTCTTTTCCTGAAATAGTGGAACCTTACTGTGAAGTACAGATAAATGCTACCTATGAGCCAGAGTGTGAAAAATGCTATTGTGATGAAAGTAACAACGTGCAGACAGATCTTTCAGTACTTTTTTTTTGAGACAGTGTCTTACTCTGTCGCCCAGGCGGGAGTGCAGTGGGACGATCTCCATTCACGCGACCTCTGCCTCTTGGGTTCAGGAGGCACGAGAAGTAGCTGGGATTATAGGCACCTGCCACCATGCGTGGCTAATTTTTGTATTTTTAGTAGAGATGGGGTTTTACCTTTTTGCTCAGGCTGGTCTTGAACTCCCGACCTCAAATGATCCGCCTGCCTCAGCCTCCCAAAGTGCTTGGATTACAGGCGTGAGCCACTGTGCCCAGCCGTGGATTTATTTTTAATTGACACATACTTATACACATTTTTTGGAGACAATGTGATATTTTGGTTCATGCATACAATGTGTAGTGATCAAATCAGGGTAATTGGCATATCCATCAGTGAGGTAAGGAGTTTTTAATCCCTGGAATTGGGTAGAGCTTTCCTTTTGGTAGGCAGGATTTGAACTGGGTGTGAGATTTGTTGTTGCTGTAGTTATATCAGACTTCAGATTCCTCTAGTGTTAGCCTGTATTTAGGTTGGGGGCTAGTTTGTTAGTTTTTTCAGGATCTGTTCTCTCAGCTGTAGGTCTTCACTTTCCTCTGCACCTCAGAGAGAGCCTTTCTCCTTGTTCTTGCCACTCGTAGCAGTAGACAGCTGTCCCTTGTCAGAGGGATAGGGTGGTGGGCAGGGCCAGTCTTTGTTCTGGTTCAGCCTGGTTCTTAGGCAGGCACTGCATCCTGGGTCTTGGTAGGATCTGTTTGTGATCCTGCCTCACGCCAGTGTAGATCTGGGCCCAGGACATAATTCCTGCTCCTCCTCCTAGGGTACTAGGGTTTGTTTTTGTTTTTTCTCCCCTATTTCTTCTCTAGCTGCAGTGGGTTCCACCAGTGCTCTAAGGCTGCAGCGTTTGTTCCTCTTCTCCCTGTAATCCTGCCTTCAGGCCTTCCCGCTATTTTTGTGAGCCTCTGGAGAAGAGCTTATTTTCTTTGTGTTGCAGCCTCCAGAAATTCTGTATTCTCTTGGCAGCTCACACTGGCCTGTAAACAATTTTAAAATAATTCTAGCTTAGTTGTTACTATTGGTATTGCCTTTTGTCAATCCTTGGAAGTTGTTTTTTTCCTTAGATTTCAAGTTACTTGGTTGTTGCCCTGTGATCTGAGCTCTCTGATGGATTCAAGGAAGTTGTAGGCTGGGCATGGTGGCTCACGCCTATGATCCCAGCACTTTGGTAGTTTGAGGTGAGGAATCTCTTGAGGCCAGGAGTTTCAGACCAGCCTGGGCAACATAGCGAGACCCCATCTCTACAAAAAAATTTTTAAAAAATTATCTGGGTGTGGTGGTACCCACCTGTAGTCCCAGCTACTTGGAAGGCCGAGGTGGGAGGACTGCTTGAGCCCAGGAGTTTGAGGCTGCAGCAAGCTGTGATCATACCACTGCACTCTAGCCTGGGAGACAGAGCAAGAATCTGTCTCAAAAACAACAAAAATGTTGTGAATTTGCGCACTTTCCAGTGTTTTGTTGTTGTCACAGTGGGGGTAATAGTTCCCACCCTTGTGTGTCCTGTTTGGAAGATGGGAATCTGAATTCCTTTTTATATTGGACTCTTAAAAAAAGGAACCTGCGTTCAGAATGGACTGTTGTTCCCTGTCACATGCACTCAGCATTTTCAGGAGCTTCATCAGGGACCCTCCAGAGACTTTTGATCCCTGGGAAGTTATGTAGCTGGATAAACTGATCCATGTTTTTATAGCATAGGGCCCACAGACTGCAGGCCCTCAGGACTGGCTCTTCTCTGACATAGTTGGCTCTGATGTCCCGGGCACCATGGTGGTCCCTTGGATTCTCCTAAGAGATGATGTAAAACTTCATTCATAGACTGGGTGTTGTCTTTGAAGGCTGTTGACAGTGCTTTCCTAGCATGGTATCAGGAACCAGGGGTTTCTGGACTTTATACTGGATTCTGACTGAAGTTTCTGGGTACCATATTGGTGTCTTAATTTTGTAAATTGCATTTTTAGGAATTATAAAACAAGACCCTAAACTACCAGTGGATAAAATCTTACCCCCACCATCTCCCTGGCCCAAGAGCTCCATCTTCGATGCTGATGAAGAAAAGTCCAAGGTAAGGAACCAGACCTACATGGTGTCTGATCAGACCTTTTCCCTTAGGGACTGTAAATGCCCTTTGATGCTTGAATCAGAGTGTGAAGGGGGGCAGGTTACGTGGATTCTCCTCTCCAGACAGGCCCTTAGGAGTGAGGTAGCAGAAGATTTGGGTGCATTCTTTACGGATAAGCCGACTAATAAGGTGCTGGGCTCTTTGTGCCCTCTCCCTTTTCTGCACAGCCTTCCTTGGGGAAAGAAGGTGCAGAAGGCTAGCTCATGAGAAGTGTGGGTGATGGGTCATGTCCTCTATGGGTGTGGTATTGGGGTGGGGACAGTGGAAGGACTTGCTGCTGTGTGTTGGTTCAGCTCTTTCTCAGTGCCAGTGAGCCCGGCCCTATCCATTTTTCATCCACTATGAACTCCCCAAATCATTGTTCCTTGGACATCAGTATCTAGAGGGACAAGAAGAGTAAGGTGGCCAAGACCCAGGGATAACTCTATGATGCCTGTGAGTGGGGAACCCTTTGGCCTAGTGCTGGCAGTGTTTTCGGTCATGACTGTTCTTGATCAGTCACAGGTCTAGTTCATGGAGCGTCGGAAGGCTACACGCTATGTACTCACTTCTGCATGGTATGGTCTGCCTGCCAACGGCACCCCCTCCCTGTACCCACTCCTTGGGCCTAGATACTCTGTGGCCATCAGGTACCTGTTGTTAGAATGAACAAGACTAGGCTCCGGGCCGCCTTTCTCCCTGGCTTTCCTCCTGCTTGGTGCCTTGAGTTTGCAGAGGGTGGGAGGAGCTAGAAAGGAGGTATGGTGTGACTTTTGAGAAAGAATCCTGTGTTACTAGCCCTCATTATCCCCACTTTTCCTGCCATCCGTTCCATGAAGATTGAGTGACTTCTCTGTGCCAGGCGTCCTGCTTGGCATTGGAAATGAAGGGATGAACAGGATCACCAGGGTCTGTTGCATCGTAAAGCACATGGTCCAGGGCAACTGCAGACCTAGCCCCTTTTGGGCCAGAGAATTCCCTGTCGTTGGGGACTGTCCTGTGCACTGTAGGATGTTCACAGCATTCCCGACTCTACCCACAAGCTGCCAGTAGCACCCCTTCTAGTTGTGACAACCAAATTTCTCCAGACTTGGCCAGACATCCCCTGGGAGAAGTAATCCCCCACATCCCCCTATCCCACTGAAAACCAGTGGCGGGCTGGGCACAGTGTCTCATGCCTGTAATCCCAGCACTTTGGAAGGCCGAGGCAGGCGGACCACGAGGTCAAGAGATTGAGACCACCCTGGCCAACATGGTGAAACCCCGTCTCTACTAAAAACACAAAAATTCGCTGGACATGGTGGCACGCGCCTATAGTCCCAGCTACTTGGAAGGCTGAGGCAGGAGAATGGTGTCAACCTGGGAGGCAGAGGTTGCAGTGAGCCAAGATCACGCCACTGCACTCCAGCCTGACAACAGAGCAAGGCCCGGTCTCAAAAAAAAAAAAAAAAACCAGTGGTGTATTGGGATAGTCAGAGTGCCTGCATCATAGTGTCCTTGGGACCATTTGGTGAGACAGTGCATGTAAAATGTATGCTGTTGTTAGTGTTAACTCTTCTGTAGCTGTTGCTTCTGCTCTGGTCCTGAGGGAGTTGTGGTCTCACTTACTCTTCCTGTTCACTCTCTCCAGCTTCTGACAAGGCTTCTAAAGAGCAACCACCCTGAGGACCTTCAGGCCGCAAACCGATTAATCAAGAATTTGGTCAAGGAGGTGGGCATTCTTCCAGTTGGTTCAGTAGAAGCAGCATTTGACAGAGGCTGAAGGACAGTGTGCATGAGCCTATGCTTGAGGGGTAGAGGAATGGTTGCCTGGGAGAAAGAGTGGCTCCTAGCCCTGAACTCTGGGGAACAGCCATAGGCTCCCTCGAGGGCAGCAAGGTGGTGATTGGAAGCAGAAAGCCCACTGCTGCCGTACTTCTCAGCTGCTTTCATCCATGCTGCTCAAAGCATTTCCTAGACACCAGCTTCGGTCCCAGCAACAGGTATTGGTATGGACAAAGTCCAGGTTTAGAAAACTGCTTTTCAAAAGGCTTGAGGCTGGTGGCACAGAGGCAGAGGTCACGGTCACCATTCCCCTAACTGCAGTTTCCTCCCCAGGAATTCTGGGCTTTTGAGTATTTTTTCATCCACCGTGTGAGCTCTCCCATGCACTTAACGTCCTGGTGACTCCCCTGAGTGAGCTCTCTCAATAGTGACTCTTTCCCATCCCTTGTTCAGGCTTCAACCAGAGTTTCTGCTCCTTCACTCCTATCCTATTCTTTTTCCCAAAAGGAACAAGAAAAATCGGAGAAGGTGTCCAAGAGGGTCAGTGCGGTGGAGGAAGTGCGAAGCCATGTGAAGGTGCTGCAGGAGATGCTGAGCATGTACCGCAGGCCAGGGCAGGCCCTGCCCGACCAGGAGGCCCTGCAGGTAATCTTCAGGTGTAACACAGGGGGCTGCACGTGTTTACTAAAGTGAGTTCACAGTGCTTTCACCTGTGTGCACCCATGAAGCCATCTCAGAGTCAAGATGGTAAACATATCTGACACCTCCCCAGATGTACTTGTGCTGCTTTGTCCTCCCTTCCTGTCTCCCCTACTCCCCAATCCCCGGGCAGCTACTGATTTGCTTTCTCTTCTGATTTGCTGACAACTCCCAGACTCTTGTATAAATGGAATGATGCAGTACATAACCCTCTATTTTTGCCTGGCTTCTCAATCTCACTCTAGATCCATTCACGTTGCTGTGTGTAGCAGTAGCTTGTTTCTTCTTATTGCCAGGTACTGTCCCATCACCTGGATGTACCACAGCGTGTACCTATTGATGGGCCTTGCGTTGTTTCCATCTTTGGGTGATTATGAGTCACACTGCTATAAACAGTTGTGTACACGGGATTTTGTGTGAACATCTATTTTCATTTCTTGTTGGTAAATGTCTGGAATTACTAGGTCATATGCTAAGTATATATTTAACTTGTTAGGAAACAAAGTGGCTAAGCTATCTTCCAGGGTAATTGCACCATTTTACAATCCTAACAGCAGCATATGCAAGTTCTAGCTCCTCCACATCTTGAGATCTTAGTTTTTATATAGCATCTTTATTGAGATAATTAACATACCATAAAAGCAAACATCATATCTACCTAGTTATAGAATATCTTAATCACCCCCAAAAGAATCCTTGTACCCATTAACAGTCATTCCCCCTTTCCCAAACTCCCCTTTCCCCAGTCTTTGGCAACCACTAATCCACTTTCTGTCTCTCTGGATTTGCCTGTTTGGATCCTTTGTCCAAGTGCGGTTACACAATACATGGGCTTTCGTGTCTGGCTTCCTTTACGTAGCCTAATGCCTGCAGGTGCATCCATCTGGTAACTTGTGTCACTGCTCCATTTCTGTTCATGCCCGAATAGTGTTCCATTGTTTGGCTATGCCACATTTTGTTTCTCCATTTATCAGCTGATGGGCATTTGGTTTGTTCCTACTTTTTGGCTATTATGAATGATGCCTTTGAATTATTCATTACGATTAATGACTTTGAACTTTGTCTAAGTTTTTATGTGAACATAGGTTTTAAATTCTTTTGGGTATATACCTAGAAATGGAATTGCTAGATCTTGAGGTAACTCCATATTAACATTTTGAGAAACTGCCAAACTGTTTTCCAAAGTGGCTGTGCCATTTTACATTCCCAGCAGCAATGTATTGGTTCCAGTTCTCTGCATCCTGCCAACATTTGTTGTTATCTTTTTGATCGGAGCCCTCCTGGAGGGTGTGAAGTGCTGTCTCGTTGCAACTTTCTGTTTCTTAATGGCTTATTTTCTATGCTTATTGGCAGCTTGTACATCTTAGAAGAAATGTCTGCAAATCCGTTGCCCATCTTTTGGAGTGTCTTTTTGAGTTACAAGCATTTTTTATGTATTCTGGATACAAGTTCCTTATCAGACAGTTTTCTCCCATCCTTTTCACTGTTTTGATAGCATCTTTTGAAGCAGGAAAGTTTTGTTTTGTTTTGTTTTTTGAGACAAAGTCTCGCTCTATCGCCCAGGCTGGAGTGCAATTGCGTGATCTCAGCTCCCTACAACCTCCTCCTCCTGGGTTCAAGCGATTCTCCTGCCTCAGCCTCCCAAGTGCTAGGATTACAGGAATGTGCCAGCACACCTGGCTAATTTTGTATTTTTTTTTTTTTAGTAAAGACAGGGTTTCTCTATGTTGGTTAGGCTGGTCTCGAACTCCTGACCTCAGGTGATCCGCCCACCTCAGTCTCCCAAAGTGCTGGGATTACAAGTGTGAGCCACTGTGCCTGACCAATAGAGACAGGGTTTCACCATGTTGGCCAGGCTGGTCTCGAACCCTGACCTCAGGTGATCCACCTGCCTTGGCCTCCCAAAGTGCTGGGATTACAGGCATGAGCCACCATGCCTGGCCTTCTTTTTTTTTTTTTTTCTTTTTTTTTAAATGTCTTGCTGGTGCTTTTGTTGTCACATCTAAGAAACTACAGTCCAGCTGGGCGCAGTGGCTCACGCCTGTAATCCCAGCACTTTGGGAGGCCGAGGCAGGTGGATCACCTGAGTTCAGGAGTTCGAGACCAGCCTGACCAACATGGAGAAACCCCATCTCTACTAAAACTACAATATCAGCCGAGCATAGTGGCGTATGCCTGTAATCCCAGCTACTCGGAAGGCTGAGGCAGGGGAATCATTTGAACCCGGGAGGCGGAGGTTGTGGTGAGCCAAGATCACACCATTGCACTCCAGCCTGGGCAACAACAGCGAAACTCCATCTCAAAAACAAACAAACAATCAAAAAGAAACCACAGCCTTTCTGTGGCAGGTTCGAGGCAGCCATGCTCTTGGTCTCCCTTGGAGCTCTGTTCTCCACCTCCTTCTGCAGGTCTGTTTCAGCCATCTCCCTCTGCATTCCAGTTTTTTTTTTTTTTTTTTTTTTAATGTTTCTCTGCACAGGAGAGCCAGCCCCCACATAACTCCTTCCACTTTATAAGATTAGTAGAAATGAACTACTGTCTTTCCAAATTCCTAAGAGAAAGCCTCCTGAGTAGCTGGGATTACAGGCACCCACTAACTTTTATATTTTTAGTAGAGACTGGGTTTCACCATGTTGGCCAGGCTGGTCTTGAACTTCTGACCTCAGGTGATCTGCCCACCTCAGTCTCCCAAAGTGCTGGGATTATAGATGTGAGCCACCCTGCCCAGTCAGATTCTTTTATTTTCAAAAATCATACACTTGTAGCCTGTAATCTTTTTCTGAAACTCTGCCATGTTACTTCAAACCTGCACTCTCGGAGTTAGGACCAACAGGAGGCTTCCTGAAGCCCCAGACTCTGCCACCTGCCTGATCAGAGGTTCCTGGGGCCCTGAAGGGGGGCGCTGTGGGGTGCCTGGGCATGTGTCATGAACCACGTTGTGCTCTTTCAGGTCGTGTATGAGAGGTGTGAAAAGCTGCGGCCCACGCTCTTCCGGCTGGCGAGTGACACCACTGATGACGATGATGCACTCGGTAAGTTTTCTTTCCTTGGGTGTAGCTAGCAGCACGGGTGCAAGACAGATTCGGTCCCTCCTGTCACGCTGCTGTGCCAGGAACAAGACAGAGTGGACTTGATGTTCCGTGGAGCTTGTGCTTAGGTAGGGTGTGACTTGAGTTGCCTCAGAACTGACTTCCAGCAGGATCCAGGCTTCAGTAAGAAATCAGCAGCAGGTCTAAAGCCTGAAAAGGGGTGGAAATTGACCATGGAGATTGGGGTGTGAGAGGTAGAAGAAAGATCCCTCTGGAGGCTTCAGGAAAAGCTGACCAATCGCAGGGGCCAGAGAAACAGCTGTGGGTGGTGTCTCAAAGGGATCACCAGCTTTTGTACCTTCAGGGGCCAGGTAGGTCACCTAAGAGAGCCTGGCCGATTGGAAAATGGAAGGGACATCCGTAGGGACGTGAAAAATTGTCCACAGTTACTAAAAAAAAAATTTAACTCTTTATTATGGAAAATTTCAAAACATGAGAGACGGGAATAGTAAAATAAATCCTATGTATTCTTCACTCATCTTTAATGATTACCAGCTCATAGCTGATTTTTTAAGTCTTGTTTCATCTGTACCTCTTTTTGTACCCACCCATTCCCTAGTCTGTTTTGAAGCAAATTCTAGACATTCCTTTTTCTTTTAATTTTTTTTTTGAGATGGAGTCTCGTTCTGTCGTCCAGGCTGGAGTGCAGTGGTGTAATCTTGGTTCACTGCAACCTCCACCTCCCGGGTTCAAGCCATTCACCTACCTCAGCCTCCCAAGTAGCTGGGATTACAGGCAACCACCATCATACCAGGCTAATTTTTGTATTTTTGTAGAGATGACGTTTCACCAATTTGGCCAGGCTGGTTTTAAACTGTGGCGTGAGCCACAATCTCCAGCCTCTGGACATTTCAAAATAATCAAAGATTCAGTCAGTGTTCAGATTTCCCTGATAAAATTTCTCTTTAATCATCTCTTGCTAACTTAAAAAAAAATTGTTCTAAATCAGACGCAGAAGAAAAGCCATACTGTATAATTGGTTTATATTTCTTTAGTCTCTCTTAGTGGATAGCATGTGCATGCCCTCTGCAATCCTTTTTCGTTTTTTTGAGACAGTCTCACTCTGTTGCTCAGGCTGAAGTCCAATGGCGTAATCTCAGTTCACTGCAGCCTCTACAGCCTCTATCTCCTGGGTTCAAGCAGTTCTCACGCCTCAGCCTCCTGAGTAGCTAGAACTACAGTTGCGCACCACCATACCTGGCTAATTTTTGTACTTTTCGTAGAGGTGGAGTTTTGTCATGTTGGCCAGGCTGGTTGCAAACTCCTGGGCTCAAGTGATTTGCCCGCCTTGGCTTCCCAAAGTGCTGGGATTACAGGCATGAATCACCACGCACAGCCTTTTTTCCTTGCATGAAAATAGGCCCTCTGAATTGAGAGTATTCTCAATCTCAGTTCTGCTCATCGCATCCCCCATGATGCTGTTAATGTTTCTATTTCTGATATTTCTTTTTTTCTTGAGATAGAGTTTCGCTCTTGTTGCCCCGGCTGGAGTGCAATGACGTGATCTCAGCTCGCTGCAACCTCCCTCTCCTGGGTTCAAGCAATTCTCCCACCTCAGCCTCCCGAATAGCTGGGATTACAGGCACCCGCCACCACGCCCGGCTAACTTTTTGTATTTTTAGTAGAAACTGGATTTCACCATGTTGGCCAGGATGGTCTTGAACTCCTGACCTCAGGTGATCCGCCCACCTCAGCCTCCCAAAGTCCTGGGATTGCAGGCCTGAGCCACTGCACCCAGCCAACAGCTTCTGAGTTAAAGTTAAAAGTTTGTTATTTAAAGGGCCTTAATTTGAGTGCTTACTGCTGGCCAGTACTCTGGACAGTACAGGTGTAGAAGGTAAACAGATTTGCTTCCTTCTGCATTGAGAACTACTAACATGTTAGGACTCGGGTTAACTGACCAGGCCTGATAGGGTCCGATGATACAATCTGGGGGCTGGAGGTGTGGATAAACTGAACATAGTCGAGCCATATGAAGGCTGTTTTATGGAAACACTTAGAAAGGATTGAGATTGTTGGTCACCAAACCAGGGGGTTCTGATTCTTCCCTCATTCTTCAGCGGAAATTCTCCAGGCAAATGACCTCCTCACCCAAGGAGTTCTGCTGTACAAACAGGTGATGGAGGGCCGGGTCACCTTTGGAAACAGAGTGACCAGCTCAGTGGGAGACATCCCTGTCTCCAGAGGTATGTTTGAAAGGCTCTCCTTGCCTTCTGCCTCAGGGCAACCTGCAATTCCCAGGAAAAAAAAAAAAAAAAAAATGGGTCCTAAACATAGTCTGGGTTAAGGAATAGAAATGAGAGAACTTGCCCTTTGTTCCCCTTCCTGTGAAAGCGGGTTTCATGTTGCCATGCCCAGCCACAGGAATCGTCATGAGCTGGTTGCCGGGCTGGACCCCAGCTTTGACTACACACGGAAGCAAATAGCTAAGCTGTGCCTGGGTTTGAATTCTCATAAATGCTTGCATATGGGAGCTAGAGACAAAAGAAATGGTCTTCCTCAGTGGTTCCTAGTGCCAGGTCAGCTGTATCAGAATCACCTGGAGCACTGGTTGAACTGCCACTGCTTAGGTCCCTGGCTTGGACCTTCTGAATCAAGACTGCTTGGAGCTGGGCCTGGAGGTCTGCGTCTTTCAAGCACTGCAGGTGATTTTGATCAGCTGTGGTCAGAAGCCTCGGAATGGCCTGAGCTGGGGAAGGCCGAATCTGCTCTTCTCCAGGGTGATGGGACCTTTGCATGATGGCCTGTGATCCCTGGGGTAGGAAGGCAGACCTTGGCTCCCTATGGTCCCAGATGCCAGCTCAGCTTGTGTGTCAGGACACTCACCTGAGTGGAAGGTTCTTGGAAGGGCAGGGAGGGCATTACCATTTGATTAGGAGGTGGCCTGAGGGAAGCTGATTGGATTTATGTGGAGACTTTACTCTCATGTCCAACTGATTTCTCTTCCTAACCCTGGGCTTTCTAGTCTTTCAGAATCCAACAGGCTGCATGAAGACCTGCCCCCTGATTGACTTGGAGGTGGACAATGGACCTGCGCAGGCGGAGACTGTGGCACCATCTTTGCTTCATCAAGACCTGGCAGCCTTGGGTGAGGGCAGGTCCTTGTGGGGAGCAGGCACAGGATGGGTGCCAGTAGGGAAGCGAACTGGTTCCCTTCGCGGAGCACGTGCCTGCTGCTGAGGGGGTCGAGATGGTTGTGAATAGGAAGAATGAGCTGGTTCCCTCTGGGGGCACGTACCTGCTGCTGAGGGAGTGAGTAGGGGAGTGAGTTGGTCCCTTCGGGAAGCACGTGTCTGCTACTGAGCGAGTCAGGATGAGTGTGAGTAGGGGAGTGAGCTGGACCCTCGGGGAACACGTGTCTTCTGCTGAAGGAGTCAGGATGGTTGTGAGGAGAGTGAGCTGGTCCCCTCAGGAAGCACATACCTGCTGCTGAGGGAATCAAGGTGGTTGTGAGTAGGGGAGTGAGCTGGTTCCCTCAGGGAGCACATACCTGCTGCCGAGGGAATCAGGTGTTCTGGGCAGTTGAGCGGGTCTCCCTTGCATATTAGTCACAGATTGGCCATGGATGAGTCGCATGACCTTCAGTAAGTTGCTTATTTGTCTAGACTTTCTGGATGTCCTAGAAAGGGTGTGTGTGGCATTACTTACCATCTTGAAGCAGGTGGAGTTAATGTCATGCATCTCACTCCACTCCTTTCTTACAGGAATCAGTGATGCTCCTGTTACAGGCACGGTGAGGATGCTCTTCCCAGGGCCCAGAGAGAGAAGGGGAGGGTCTCAGACCTGCCCTTGTGAGGCAGCACTGCCTGGCGAGCAGAGAGATGCTCCTGCACTGTCCTGGGGGAATCATGGCCTTGGAGGTCCAAAGCCTCTTCCTCACCCATACTATCTGGCTGGTACCCCAGGGGAGACAGGTTACACCAGACTCCTGCTTCCTGGAGGTCTGCCCAGGAGCCAAGTGTGATCTTGCCCTTTCTTTCCCCTCTTGCCCCAAGAAATGTCACCAGCCTGGGCCACAGCAGCTTGGGTGGGTTCAGGAGAACTGTGCCTTGGTTTTACTGTGGCTGATGGTCACTCATACCCTGGTCTTACTTTAGCCATTCCTGATTTGACAGGTTGCTGGTCAGAATTGCTGTGAGGAAAAGAGGAATCCCTCCTCCAGCACACTGCCAGGCAGTGGTGTTCAGAACCCTTCTGCAGACAGGAATTTGCTGGACCTCCTCTCACCACAGCCAGCTCCGGGCCCTCTGTGAGTCTTCTGGGCAAGGGGAGTGGGAGAGTGTGGCTCCTGAGTGCAGTTCCTTCTCATGGGACAAGGGCCAAAGAATGGTGCTCTAAGACAGCCTCTCGCCCTGGAGAAACATCTTTCTTTTTTTTTTTCTTTTTTTTTGAGACAGGGTCTCGCTCTATTGCCCAGGCTAGAGTGCAGTGGCACAATCTGGGCTCATTACAACCTTTACCTCCTGAGTTCAAGCGATTCTCCTGCCTCAGCCTCCCGAGTAACTGGGATTACAGGCACATGCCACCATGCCCAGCTAATTTTTTTTTAAGTTTTAGTAGAGATGGGATTTCACCATGTTGGCCAGGCTGATCTCAAACTCCTGACCTCAGGTGATCCGTCTGCCTGGCCGAGAATCATCTTTCTGTTGAAAGTTTAGGCCAGGTGCGGTGGCTCATGCCTTGTATGAATTCGTTTTCACACTGCTGATAAAGACATACCCGAGACTGTGTAATTTAAAAACAAAAAGAGGTTTAATGGACTCATAGTTTCACGTGGCTGAGGAGGCCTCCCAATCATGGCGGAAGGCAAAAGGCATGTTTTCTTTCTTTTTTTTTTTTGAGACAGAGTCTCGCTCTGTCACCGTAGGTGGAGTGCAGTGGTGCAGTCTCAGCTCACTGCCACCTCTGCCTCCCGGGTTCAAGCGATTCTCTTGCCTCAGCCTCCTGAGTAGCTGGGATTAAGGCGTATGCCACCACACCTGGTTAATTTTTTGTGTTTTTTTAGTAGAGATGGGGTTTCACCATGTTAGCCAGGATGGTCTTGATCTCCTGACCTCATAATCTGCCTGCCTCTGCCTCCCAAAGTGCTGGGATTACAGGCATGAGCCACTGCACTCAGCCAAAAGGCGTGTCTTATGTGGCAGCAGACGAGAGAATGAGAGCCAAATGAAAAAGGGTTTCCCCTTATAAAACCGTCAGATCTCATGAGACTCACTACCATGAGAACAGTGTGAGGAAACTGCACCCATGATTCCGTTCTCTCCTACAGGGTCCCTGCCAGGACATGTGGGAATTGTGGGTGCTACAGTTCAAGATGAGATTTAGGTGGGGACACAGCCAAACCATATCATACCTGTAATCCCAGCTCTTTGGGAGGCCAAGGCAGGTGGATCGCTTGAGCCCTGGAGTTCAAGACTAGCCTGGGATATATGGCAAAACCCCATCTCTACAAAAAACACAAAAATTAGCCAGGCGTAGTAGCTCATGCCTGTAGTCCCAGCTCCTCAGGAGGCTGAGGTGGGAGGATGACTTGAGCCTGGAAAGTCGAGGCTGCAGTGAGCCATTACCATGCCACTGCATTCCAGCCTGGACAGCAGAATGAGACCCTGTCTCGACAAAAGTTTAATATGCTGCTTCCCTTTTCTCATTTTACTTTCTTTCCTAAGTCGTTGGAAAATACCTGCTTTGGCCAAGACATCTGAAAGGGGGTTTATTTAAGGACTAGGAATAATAGAACATGAGGTTTTTGCTGTTTGTTTTTGTTTTCCCTTCTAATAACCATGTAATTGAAGTTAAGTAAAATTTGATCCATAGAGAAATATACAACAAAGTGCAAAGTACCACTCCCTAAAAGCAAGGTTGAATGTTCCGTCTTTGCTTTTTTTCTGTACAAGTAGTGGTGCATTCTTGTGGCTTGTTACACAAACAGGATTTTTTTTTTTTTTTTTTTTTTTGAGACGGAGTCTTGCTCTGTCGCCCAGGCTGGAGTGCAGTAGCCGCATCTCAGCACACTGCAAGCTCCACCTCCCGGGTTCACACCATTCTCCTGCCTCAGCCTCCTGAGTAGCTGGGACTACAGGCGCCCACCACCACGCCTGGCTAATTTTTTGTATTTTTTAGTAGAGCCGGGGTTTCACCGTGTTAGCCAGAATGGTCTCGATCTCCTGACCTTGTGATCCGCCCGTCTCGGCCTCCCAAAGTGCTGGGATTACAGGCTTGAGCCACCGTGCCCGGCCAGAAACAGGATTTTAATTTACAAACTGCACTCCAGCATGACCTTTTCATATCATATCTGTGATGCATTTCATATCAGTTTCTATAAATATGCCTCAGTCTTCTTAATAGCTACATTATAATTCATTGCATGGATGTATTTGATCATTTCCCTTTTGTGCACATTTACATAATTTCCAGTTTGGAGATGCTTAGGGGAGTGCCTTATAGTACAGATCCCTGAAGGGAGAGGTTCTCTAAGGTGTGAATGTAACAACATTTTCATAGATCCTGTCCCTTTGTCTCTGGAAAAGTGCAGCTTACCTTCACCCAAACAGCCTGAAAGTGCCTATGTTCCTAATAGAAACCACCTGGCTCTGGCAGAAGTGGGATGTCCTGGGAGTTCATTCCCATTTGCCACCCAGAGGTCATTTCTTGCAGTCTTCTTTTTTTCAGCCACTTGGGCAGGGTGGGTTATTTCTTCTCGCGGGACTTTAGTTTTCTAAAACGTTTTCAGTTTGTGCCCCAAATGGACAAAATCATGGAGTGGATAATAGCTGGTGTAATTTGTGTATCATCTGCCTGGCTCACGTCCCTCTGTGATCACACCTGGAAAACAACCTGCCTGAGCTACTTATTGTCAGGGACTGCCTGACAGGTACAACATGAACAACCCTCATAACAAAGGCTCTAGGTTATTGGGTTCTTAATATGTGTGGACATTTTAAGTGCTTTTGTTTCTTTCTTTCTTTTTCTTTTTTTCCTGCGACGGAGTCTCGCCCTGTTGCCCAGGCTGGAGTGCAGTGGTATGATAGCTCACCACAAGCACGCGCCACCACCACCTGGCTAATTTTTAATTTTTTTTTTTTTAAATTTTTGTACTTTTAGTAGAAACTGGGTTTCACCATGTCGGCCAGGCTGGTCTTGAACTCCTGACCTCAAATGACCCACCTGCCTCAGCCTCCCAGAGTGCTGGGATTACAGGCATGAGCCACTGCACCCAGCCTCTAAGTGCTTTTCACACATTGTCTCGTTTGAATCTTGTAACAGCCTACAAGGTAAATTACTTCTGTTATTTCCATTTAACAGATGAGGAAGCTGAGGTATGAGTTTGATTACTTGACAAAAGTCATGTAACATCTGGTACATTAGCTCACACCTGTAATCCCAGTACTTTGGGAGGCCGAGGTGGGCAAATCACCTGAGATCAAGAGTTCAAGACCAGCACGGCCAATGTGGTGAAACCTTGTGTCTAGTAAAAATACAAAAATCAGCCGGGCGTGGTGGCAGGTGCCTGTAATCCCAGTTACTCGGGAGGCTGAGGCAGGAGAATCGCTTGAGCCTGGGAGGCAGAGGTTGCAGTGAGCCGAGGCAGTTCCACTACACTCCAGCCTGGGCAACAGAGCGAGACACTGTATCATCAAAAAGAAAAAAAAAAAAAGGCATATAACATCTAACTGTGTGTGTGTGTGTGTGTGTGTGTGTGATTTTTTCCCCTTGTTCTGTAATAAGCCTTGTGTATATGTGTGTGTGTGTGTGTGTGTGTGTGTGTGTGTGTGTGTGTGTGATTTTTTTTCCCTTGTTCTGTAATAAGCCTTGTGTGTATGTGTGTGTGTGTGTGTGTGTGTGTGATTTTTTTTCCCTTGTTCTGTAATAAGCCTAACCCAAATTCCAGGAAATCGCTACAATTTTTGCTAGTCTTTGATATTTTTTATTTTTTTGTAGGAATTATGTTTCGCAGAAAAGTGTCCCCAAGGAAGTGCCCCCAGGTACTAAGTCCTCTCCAGGTTGGTCCTGGGAGGCTGGCCCGTTGGCTCCTTCCCCATCTTCACAGAATACACCTCTGGCTCAAGTGTTTGTCCCTTTGGAGTCTGTTAAGCCCAGTAAGTACAATTTTACTCCCCACCTTTTTTTTTTTCCTGGGAATCTATTAGACTCCCAGCTTTTTCCATTCCAGTTTGGTAGAGGTAGCCCTTAAATTTGGTTGATGAATGGGAGAGATTTTGCATGAGGGCAAAAAGTAAGAGGTTGTGGCCAGGTATGGTGACTCATGCCTGTAATCCCAGCACTTTGGGAGGCTGAGGTGGGAGGATCACTTGAGGCCAGGAGTTTTGAGACCCGCCTGGGCAAGATAGCCTTGTCTCTATTTCGGGGGGGGGGAAGAAAAAAATGGGGAGGCCAAGGCAGGTGATCACTTGAGGCCAGGAGTTTGAGACCAGCCTGGCCAACATAGTGAAGCCCTGTCTCTACAAAAAATACAAACATTAGCTGGGCGTGGTGGTGCATGCCTGTAGTCCCAGCTACTTGGGAGGCTGAGGCAGGAGAATTGCTTGAACCCAGGAGGTGGAGGTTGCAGTGAGCCAAGATCATGCCACCACACTCTAGCCTGAGTGACAAAGTGAGACTCCGTCTCCCAAAAAAAAAAAAAGTTTGCTTCTTTGTCTTTTAGCTAATTTTCTTAGCCTTCCTTAGTATTGACACTGTCAAGGATATGGGCAAGCCTTTAGGCACATAATGTTCATTGATTTGGGATTCAAGAAGGGAATGTTTAATGTGGCCTGAAATGACTGGCAAGAGGTAGAATTCAAATGAGTGGAAGAATTTGTCTAGTGATCCTCCTTCTCTAGGGATCCTCATTAAAGCAGAAAAGTGGATATTACCTATGTTACAAAGGGAAGGAAATGGAAGGCTCAGCTAATCAAGGTGCCTACGGTCTCTACACTAGTATGCACAGCAGGACACAACTCAGGTCGTCTGTTCCAGGGCCTGGGCTCTTTAGCACAGAGCCCTCCTATGGCTCTTTGTGATGAGGTTAGATTGCAGAGAGCCCTGAAAGCCAGGCAGACAAATTTATAAATAAACAGAGTTGGTAAACAGTGGGAGCTCTTTGTACATTTCTTTATTGATTTTTGATTTAAGAAATAATACATGTTCAGTGTTAATTTTCTGAATTCAATAATTGTACTGTAGTTATGATGTTAACATCTGGGGAAGCTACATGAAGGGTATATAGAAATTTTTGTATTAGTTTTATAACTTCTTATAAGTCTGAAATTATTACAAAGCAAACTTTAAAAAGTAAAAAAGTTAAAAATACATGTTCAAAATGTAGAGTTTTATTAAAGATAGAATAGGCTGGACTCAGTGGCTCACGCCTATAATGCCAGCACTTTGGGAGGACAAGGCAGGCAGATCACTTGAGGTCAGGAGTTCGAGACCAGCCTGGCCAAAATGGTGAAACCCTAAAAATACAAAAAGTAGCTGGGTGTGGTAGTATGCCCCTGTAATCCCCAGCTACTCAGGAGCCTGAGTCAGGAGAATCACTTGAACCCAGACGCCAGAGGTTGCAGTGAGCTGAGATCGTGCCACTGTGCTTCAATCTGAGCAACAAAGAAGACTCTGTCTCAAAAAAAAAAAAGATGGACTAGAAAAGTAAAATCATCTATACCATTACCAGCCAGAGATGGAAATTCTGTTCATGTCTTGATAGATTTTCTTCTTGTCTTATCATGTACGTATATTTGTACATACACAGTTCTTAATAATTTTATACCATAGTGTGTACAGAATGTTACTCTATTTACTGTTACTTTATAAGTCTATACCATTTTTATGCCCTTAGTTCTTTAAAAACGTGATTTTTAATGAACTTCTATATAGATATATGCACCATTAAATAGAGGTACTGTAATCTGTTTATTCAGTATTTTATTTTATTTTATTTTATTTTTTATTTTATTTTATTGTTGAGACAAGGTCTGGCCCTGTCATCCAGGCTGTAGTGCAGTGGTGCCATCTCAGCTTACTACAACCTCCGTCCTCCAGGCTCAAGCCATCCTCTCACCTTGGCCTCCCAAGTAGCTGGGACTACAGGCGTGCGCCACTATGTCCGGCTTATTCAGTCCTTCTCTGAAGGTCAATTTCTTTCTACCTGTTTGCTGTTAAAAACAGGGCTACAGGCCAGGTGTGGTGGCTCACGCCTGTAATCCCAGCACTTTGGGAGGCCAAGGCGGGTGGAGCACCTGAGGTCAGGAGTTCAAGACCAACCTGGCCAACATAGTGAAACCCTGTCTCTACTAAAAAATACAAAAAAAATTAGCCAGGCATGGTGGTGGGCACCTGTAGTCCCAGCTACTTGGGAGGGTGAGGCAAGAGAATCACTTGAACCTGGGAGGCAGAGGTTGCAGTGAGCTGAGATTGCGCCATTATACTCTAGCCTGGGTGACACAGTGAGACTCTGTCTTTAAAAAAAAAAAACAGGGCTACAAAGAACATCTTTGGATGCCTTTCTTTATACCTTTCTTTTATACCTTCCTGATTATTAGGCGATCATAATACCAGTGAAATGCCACATGTAGACATTTAAAATTTTGATCTGTATTACCAATTTCCCTTCTGAAAAGGTTGCTTTTTTCCCCATACTCTTGCCACCATACCCCACTGATGTTTTCAGTCTCTTAAATCTTTGGTAGTTTCATTGTTAAACTGTGTTTTAATTTTTTTTTTTTTTTTTTTTTTTTTTTTTTTTTGAGATGGAGTCTCACTCTGTCGCCCAGGCTGGAGTGCAGTGGCACAACCTCAGCTCACTGCAAGCTCTGCCTCCCGGGTTCACGCCATTCTCCTGCCTCAGCCTCCTGAGTAGCTGGGACTACAGGCGCCTGCCACCACACCCGGCTAATTTTTTTGTATTTTTAGTAGAGATGGGGTTTCACCGTGTTAGCCAGGATGATCTCAATCTCCTGACCTCACGATCCGCCCACCTCGGCCTCCCAAAGTGCTGGGATTACAGGTGTGAGCCACCTTACCCGGCTGTTTTAATTTCTTTAAATTTTTTTGTTTTTTTAGAGATGGGGCCTCGCTCCATTACCTAGGCAGGAGTGCAGTGGCACATTCATAGCTCACTGCAGCCTCAAATTCCTCTTGGGCTCAAGCAATCCTCCTGCCTCAGACTCCCAGGTAGCTAGCATGACAGGCATGCACCACCACGCCCAGCAAATTTTTATTGTCTTTTTGGGGATGGGAGGCAGATCTCACTATATTGCCCAGGCTGGTCTTGAACTCCTGACCTCAAGCAATTTTCTTATCTCAGCCACCTGAGTAGCTGGGATTACAGGCATGAGACACCATACCCAGATCTAAGCTATATTTTAGTAATGTATATTTTGATATTAAAGTGTTTTCCCAGCTGATTAACCAGTCTGAGTGCCATTCATTGAGCCAGCCCTGATTTTTGAAGGATATGTTATGTTACAGTCTCATTTAGATCTGTTCTACATGTTCTGTTTTATGCCACTTTATTTGAATTGTAATTTTATCTGAGTATTTGCTATAGCCCTGCCCCCCTTTTTAAATTTATTGGTTAGTCTTACATAGTTTTTCCCTTTCAAATAAACATTAGAGTCACTCCTGAGCTAAATTAAAAGTATCTTTAGAATTTCCATTGGAATGCTATTAAACTTATTAATTTGAGGTGATTTGGTGTCTACAGTTTTGTACAATTAAATATAAGGTGGTGTGTGTGTGTGAGCATGTGCGTGTGTTTGTATTCACACAAAAGAGACTAGAAGGAAATAAGTGCTTATTTCTGGGTAGAATTAAGAGTGCATTGGCTGGGCACGGTGGCTCATGCCTGTAATCCCAGCACTTTGGGAGGCCAAGGTGGGCAGATCACCTGAGGTTGGGAGTTTGAGGCCTGACCTCCCCCAGCCTGACCAACATGGAGAAACCCTGTCTCTACTAAAAACACAAAAACTAGCTGGGCGTGGTGGCGCATTCCTAGCTACTCTGGAGGCTGAAGTAGGAGAATCATTTGAACCCGGGAGGCGGAGGTTGTGGTGAGCCAAGATCATGCCGTTGCACTCCAGCCTGGGCAACAAAAGTGAAAGTCCGTCTCAAAAAAAAGAGCATTTATTTTATTTTTTAATGATTGTGTGTGTGTATGTGGTTTTTTTGTTTGTTTTTTGGTTTGTTTGTGAGACAGAGTCTCGCTCTGTCACCCAGGCTAGAGTGCAGTGGTGCAATCTCGGCTCACTGCAACTTCTGCCTCCCGAGTTCAAGTGATTTTCGTGCCTCAGCCTCTCAGATGGCTGGGATTACAGGCGTGCACCACCATGCCCAGCTAATTTTTGTATTTTTAGTAGAGATGGGGTTTTGCCATGTTGTCCAGGCTGGTCACGAACTCTTAGCCTCAAGTGATCCACCCTCCTCGGCCTCCCAAAATGCTGGGATTACAGGCATGAGCCCCCACCCCTGGCTGATAATTCTCTGTTTTCTCTAGTGTTCATGCATGATTTTAATCATGATCATATCTTCCTCAAAAATGTGATTTGTTTTTTTTTTTTGAGATGGAGTCTCTGTCGCCCAGGCTGGAGTGCAGTGGCCGGGTCTCAGGTCACTGCAAGCCCTGCCCCCTGGGTTTACGCCATTCTCCTGCCTCAGCCTCCCGAGTAGCTGGGACTACAGGCGCCCGCTGCCTCGCCCAGCTAGTTTTTTTGTATTTTTTAGTAGAGACGGGGTTTCACCATGTTAGCCAGAATGGTCTCGATCTCCTGACCTCATGATCTGCCCGTCTCGGTCTCCCAAAGTGCTGGGATTACAGGCTTGAGCCACCGCACCTGGCCAAAAAATGTGATTTTTAATAACTGGTGATGTGTCTGATGGTTGAATGGTGGGGAGAGGTCAGTTTGGAGGGTCATAGGAGTCCAGCTGGAGTCATGGGGACTTGGATTATTGTAGTGCAGAGGAATTCAGTCCTGGACATGTTCTGCATGGAGAAGCAGTAGCATCTGGGGATAACATGTATATCTCTTTCCAGCCTGACTGTCGGGGGGGTTTTGTAGTGGTGTTAACCCTTCTGCTCGCGCCCTCTCTACCAGGCAGCCTGCCACCTCTCATCGTGTATGACCGGAACGGATTCAGAATTCTGCTCCACTTCTCCCAGACGGGAGCCCCTGGGCACCCAGAGGTACAGGTGCTGCTCTTGACCATGATGAGCACGGCTCCCCAGCCTGTCTGGGATATCATGTTTCAAGTGGCTGTGCCAAAGGTGAGTCATCTGTTATGGATTTCTCAGTAATGGCTGTCGTTTTTGAGTGCCAGGTTCTTTGCTGGGACTTATCTGTTGAGTGTCAAGGAAAGAATCTTCACTCAAACTAACTGAAGATAAAGTGGGAATGTAATGGCTTACCTGACTGGGGATTCCTGAATATCTGGCTTCAGATATCAGTGGATCCAGATAGGTTCTTAAACAATGCCTTAAGAGTCTGTCTGTATCTCTTGACTCTGCTTTTCTTTGTCTCCATTCTGACAGTTTCTCCACAAAGCAGGAAAGTGGCTACCCACAGCTCCAGGGTTGCGTGATCCTTAACCCTCTTTATCTCAGAAACTCTCACCAGGCATGAAGCATGTATACTGATGACCCAGGAAAGGGCTCTGATTGGCCTTGTTGGTATTACTTCCATACCTTGGACCAGGAACTTGTGTCCTGGGATATGAGGCACTTGGCCAATGTGAGATAACATATCCAGCCCTTTTCAAAGGAAGTGGGGCCCTACTGCTTAACAGCCACCCCACAGTCACAGGGGAAGGGGCCCATCCTGAAAGGAAAAGATTCAAGACAGACAAAAATATGACATGCAGTCTCTACTTCTCATGGTAGTCCTGTAGGGAATGTTCTGCTACTACCTGTTGTATAAGTTAACCCAAGGCTCAGAAATTAAATATTTTACTCAAGGTCACAGAGCTAGTGAGAAACAGTTAGAATTCAACCCAAGATGTGCCCTGGCTGTTGATGCTGTTTCTCAGATGCCAGTTATTGACCACACAACTCCAGATCCATTCTGCATGTGGAAGGAAAGGCCTCTTAGATCCTTTTAACAATTAGCGGGAGTCTGTCTGCTTGGGCTCCCATAGGTGCCTCGGGGTACCACGTCTAAGAGGGCCATTTCCTCTTGGGGGGTGTTGGGGAGGTCCAGCTCCCCCTCACCTGATCTTCATCCTGGAAGCTGTGGTTAGGAATGAGTTACATGTTGGTTTTCTTCCCCTATAGTCAATGAGAGTGAAGCTACAGCCAGCATCCAGCTCCAAGCTTCCTGCATTCAGTCCTTTGATGCCTCCAGCTGTGATATCTCAGATGCTGCTGCTTGACAATCCACACAAAGTATGTTCCAGTGTCTCTGGTAGCAGGGAGATGGGAGCCCCCGAACTGTAAGGGGAGGTAACTTTGTGGGTAGAGAGAGGCACATTGAGGCCTTGCTCTAAAGTCTCTGGTTTGCCGGGCGCAGTGGTTCACCCAAGTAACCCCAGCACTTTGGGAGGCTGAAGCAGGTGGACACCCTGAGGTCAGGAGTTTGAGACCGGCCTGGCCAACATGGTGAAACCCCATCTCTACTAAAAATACAAAAATTTGCTGGGTGTGATGGCACGTGCCTTTAGTCCTAGCTACTCAGGAGGCTGAGGCAGGAGAGTCGCTTGAACCCGGGAGGTGGACGTTGCAGTGAGCCAAGATTGCACTACTGCACTCCTGGGCAACAGAGCAAGACTCCATCTCAAAAATAAAATAACGTCGGCCGGGTGCAGTGGCTCATGCCTGTAATCCCAGCACTTTGGGAGGCTGAGGCAGATGGATCACGAGGGTCAAGAAATCGAGACCATCCTGGCCAACATGGTGAAACCCCATCTCTACTGAAAATACAAAAATTAGCTGGGCATGGTGTCACACGCCTGTAGTCTCAGCTACTCGGGAGGCTGAGGCAGGAGAATTGCTTGAACCCAGGAGGCAGAGGTTGCAGTGAGCCGAGATCGCGCCATTGCACTCCAGTCTGGTGACAGAGTGAGACTCCATCAGATAGATAGATAGATAGATAGATAGATAGATAGATAGATAGATAGA